TAATAAAATTAATATTGTACGAGACAACCTCATAGTATATTCAGGTAATAATTTAATTCCATACAATCCATTTAGTCACTTTGACCCGATTTTTTGACTTTAAACTTATTTTCTAGTTTAATTTATTTATTATTTTATATATGAATTTTGCTATTATTAGTTAATAGGTTCTAAAGCGTACAATTTATAGTTCTGCTTTTTAATTGCTTCAATTACCTAAAATTGTTAGATAAATCATATATAATATCAAGACTTTATTTGCTTTGAAATTCTTTAAATAAAAAAGTCTAGCAATAATAAAATATGTTCCATGTATTCCATGGTCAGTCTGTGGTTGTTAAACTTAATAATATTAAGCGATAAATAATAAGCTTTAGAGTGTTCTCTCTTTATAAAACAAGGCCTTTGCTTTTATTTTTGATTTGCTTGTACAAATATTGAAAAAAAAATATATTTATTTTAAATACAGGATAATATATATTTTTTTATTTAAAAAATTTTTTTTAAGATTATTTGATTAATTTATTAATATATTTTATTTCTCATTTCCTTGGATATTCCCATGTCTGTTCCTATTTCATTACAATTTCTGGCGCCACTCCCCGCTCATCATCACATTGGCATCTCTCCGCCGAATTCTCCGCTTGTTATCGCTGAATTTGGCAAAACGAAAAATTGTGCGCAATTATTGGGCAAAGAATCCACGAAAATCCCGAGGCTTTCCCTGGGAAATCAATAAAGGAGGCAGCGACAAGCCAGGTTTCCGGCAACGCGAATCAAGCGCGGTGGCAAAGGTCAATCGAATTGGCAGCTCATCTCCCAGCTTCAGCTCCAACTCCAGCTCCAACTTCAGCTCCAACTTCATCCCAGAGACTCCGTCTTGGAGGCAGCCTGCAGCCAAGGAAATCGAGTGTCTCGTTGAGTGGGAAAAGGGCGAACTTGCACGCGATGCTTGGCTGAAAAAGCTTCCATCTCTTTGGAGGAGAGGCAGCTCCCAGCTCCTCTGCCTTCTTTGGGTCTGTAGTGCATGTCATAACCAACAACGGTGCCTGTGCCGCCATCCTCGATCTTCCGCCTTGCATAAGACCCCCGGATGGTTTCACTTTTCCTTCCTTCGTTTGCGGCCCGGTAATTAATGCCATCGTCCATCCATCCGGCTAGCGGTTGGTAGTGGCTAGTAGCTGGAGCTGGAGCTTTGTAATTTATGCTAATTTCAGTTCAGCGATCGTTTAATTGATCAGCGTTAGATTCGATTTCGATGGGATTTCAATATGATTGGCAGAAGGCTAAACTTAAGTCTCACCTCAATTATATTTTACTGCATATTAAGTGGCTATTCCCCAGCTGCAGGGAAAAACAATAAAGCGATATTTGCACGAACTACTACAGCTTTTATAAAAAGAAAATTAAATTACTATCGAAGGTATACCTTATAGGGAATTAATTGTCTAGGAAAATATTTATAAGTTCCTCGTGTTTTTTTGTCAATATCAATCTTAAATTCTTAGGTTAGCTCTAGAAATGACACAAAATATTAAAACTTTTTCCAAATTTTACGATTTTTGATTCATAATATTTCAGAATTGCATATATATTATGTTTGATATATAAAACTGAACCAAAGAAGAGCCATAGCTTAGTTTAAGCTATTATTAAATATTAGAATCAAAAGTCTTAAAGATGTTAGATAAAGACAAATAAATGAATGGCATTGATCGGGTATAGAGTTTTTAAATTTAAATGCCTACTCTCAGTATTTTCGATTTCGTTATATTAAACTTTACGATAATTCCATTATAATAGTAAATGCAGTATATTTGTCGATATATCAGTTCGATCTTTTCCTAGTTAGGACACGACGTTCCCCAGGGTCCCGTCTAAGGACTTATCGATTTCATGTTAATTAATTTTAAATTTAATGTGCATTTAAAATAATACATTATAAAAAGCCGTACGTTCACTGAAAAAGTACAATTTATCGATACTGCCTCTTCCTCAATCAGAGTTCATTGATATGCAGTTCGATTCGGTTCCATTCCCCTCGGGCCGATGATGTTGTTGACCGCGAATCAAAGTCATCAAAAACTTGTCGACTGGCATACAAAATGCGCTTTCGACATGGCCTTTTCCCATACACTCGAGTGTAATTTCGTCCATTGGGTAATTCGGTTAAATTCGGAGGGTGGCATGCGACTTATTGCGTTATGAAAGCGTTACAAATCTTGGCTTTGAATAAAGACACTACTCCATTTCGGTAAGTACACTCGAGTCCACTTCAGATGGGACCGCGGTACGTGATGATGACCCACCATAGACCAAAATTGCGTCTCATTAACATTTTCGGCCATAATCATCATCGATTCAGTTTTCGTCGGACCTGTTTTACATCTAATTTATGTGCCCGTAGCAGTGCCCAGTGATATCATGATGGACTACGAACGAGCCCCAAAGCCCAGGCCCCGAATCAGATTCTTGGAAATTCGTAAATTGGCTCGTCGGAGATGAAAGCGCCCCTTAAACAGAGCGAAACTATCGGCCAATACATCAATTTAATGGCTTCATTGAAAGCGCTTTCGAAACGGAAACAAAAAGCCAGAATCTGGTCGATTTGGAACCCATCCTCATCCCAGCTTCACAGCTTCCCAGCCCGTTTACCTGCTTCCCAGGGCATCGAGTTGCACCTGCTTGCCTGACACTCGATATGCCCCGAAAAGGTCAGCCTGTGAACTCCGACAATAACCAAAAATTAAGCCAAACGAGCGTGTCAATTGGCCAAAAAAAAAAACATAAGCCCCAATTGAGAGCCAAGTACTTCCGCAGAGGCCTCTATGTCTCGGAGTGTCGTATGCCAGTTACCGTTCAATCTGATTCGATTTCCGCTGAAATAATGGCTCAATGCCAGGCCGATGTTTGTGCTCTTAAATCAAATGCGACCAAAATCAAATAATTTGTTAACACTGCCGCTTAAGTCAACAGTTAAACAATCAGCGATCGATGCCGCTGCCGCTGCCACTACCGCTTTCAGGCCGATTGCGCCACAGACATTGACAGGCATTGATTTTTCTCTCTATACATATATATAATATATTTTTTTAGTTTAGTTTTGTTTAGCTGTTTTAGCCATTTGAGTGAGTTTTGCCCGGCTTTTGTCTCGCTTTGGCTGTTGAACCCCCATGGGCAATTAAAGCTGCACGATGCCAAAGTGAATGTGCGACGCGAGCCGCGAAGAGCGTCGCCACCATTCGATCGCGTAAGGTCACCAGGGAGTGGGTTATAGAAATCAAACGGACCGGGAAGGAAAAAATTAGTGTGATTTTTGTACAATTTACACATGGAATTATTAATAAAGTTTATCGGATTTTATGGGGCTGAGTTTTTAAGTGAGGAAATTGCAAAAGAAAAACATATATTTCCTAGAGTGCAGCTATAGAGTTTAATAATTACAAATAACCACTTAAAAGTGTGCTGAAATTTTATAGAAAGAGATTATCAATGAAGAACTTGTAAGAAGAATATACTAAATATATCTAGTTAATAAAATAACAACTAATTAATTAAAACTTATTATGCATACGGCATTGCAAGGCAGCTACTTGGTAAGAACTTAATAATAATGAAAATTATAGTTTTAAGACTCATTTGCAATTCTTCAAGTAAAATTTTAAGCTTCTTATCAATAACAATATTATTTTTATTTATATTAAAATATACCTTTAACTGATTTATACTTATATTCTGCAATGATTTCTAACAGATTTGTAGCATTTAAAAGATCTCGCTAGAGTTTTCTGTAAGCTTCTTTATAGTTATCTCCAAGTCGTTTCATTGAATTTATAAAATATAATTATAAATTTTGAGTTTGGACAGAATATTCAATTTATTGGATATAGAACGTTGCTGAAAAATATGTATACTAATGAAAAATAACATTTTGACTGATTAATAAAAATGTTTGAATACGTTTCCGGCTTATATAAATCGATATAATCTCAATAAATATAATACAAAGATAAAGATTAAGAAATAAATAAACCACACCTATGATGCTGTTCTGGAATCATCGAAGTTAATTTAATCCCTCAAGGGATTAATACTTATTAACCTAAAAAAATATTAAAGAGATTCCTACAAATGTATATCACCACGTAAAATGGCTTTTCCTTAATAATAAATTTGTATATTTTATCAATAAGCACATATTTTAATTGAAATTATAGTACAGCCCTTGACTAGTTTTATTAAAAATCAATTCACTTGTTTAAAAATCAACTATTTATCAAGTATTCATCAAAAATAACCCTTTAAAAGTAGTCTCAATTATAGTTTCCCAATCCCAAAAGACCCCCTTACCCCTCTTGTTTAAACAAAGGCATAAAACAAAGTATTGGCATGACTAAATCGAATGTGGCAAGGGGGTAAGCCCCCTTCGAAGACTTATCTAAGAACCAAGTTATGCTTGTTTGTGGCGAGCAAACAGTTGCATTAGTTCCCAGAACAAATTCTCGTGGAGGCGGTATTGGTCTTTGATCTCGGTGACTAATTACTAACGTGAACTCATGCAAACGCCTCGTAGGTGTACGTGTCAAAAGCCGGACGGACACTGACTCGATGCAGGAAGCTAAATCGAATACAAATTAAGTACAGAAAATTGAGAAAATAAATACAGAAAAATCGAAAAAGCTGACATCGCCTTATGCACAAATACAAATCATCCTTGACGCATGCGCACCAAAAACGGCAGCCCGAAAATCGAATAAAAAATCTCTACAAAATATATCGAAGGAGAGTTGAAACTGAAAACGAGATAATACAGAGGCAAGCGCAGCTTCCAAAAATAAAAACGAAACTGAAACACGACGTAGGACTGCATACAAGGCAAGGCTGTAGACCTTTTTTGGCCACATTAACAAAAGCGGCTTTTTGAGAGAATTTTCAATATTTTTTTCGACATTTTTTAAGTTTATTTTGTGCAACAAACCCCACAGATCCCCTTGTGCCTGTTTACGTTTTAAATTGACGTTTATTTCCAGACGACGGCGGTCGAAACTTTCGGATTTTTGTGTGTGTGCGCCTTAATGAGGAGTCGAGTTAATTTGGTCCAGGCATTTGAACAGGCTCACGAGGGGCATCCTCCTCCGGCTGCAATGGGCAAAACGAGAACGAAACGAGGTGTTCACCAAGGCACCTACAGAGACACAAGGCTATATAGACATATATATCTATATATATATATTGGAGTGCTGTATCCAGATACAAGTGACGTCATGGGCCTCTGGCACTGGCATTGGCATTGAAACTCACTCAAGGTTGACTCGCTGGAATCGAATCTCTCTCGCATGGCCATAAAAAGTCTCCCACGCACATAAAAAAATGTATATATATAAATATAAATTAGAAACGCTGGCTTAGCATTAGTTGGAGTCTGTATAGGTGAAGTCCTCTTCATGCTGCTTCTTATCTCCCTACTGGTACTTCTTATCAGTCTGCTTATCCTTCCAGACGAGAAAGGGACGCTGAATGTACCTGCAGTGCTTGGGATATAGATTGGCCAAAGCCAGCAGATCCCCCATCACCACAATAAAGATCTGTGTATAACGCACCGACTTTAGGCCAAAGAACCACACCACCTTCTCTTGAAAATTCATTTTAAAAAGTTTAATTTTTTGGTTTTATAATCTCCGAAACTTGGAGTATTCTGGAATATTCTGACTAGAGACAGCTTCGAAATGAACACTAACTCCCAGGCGGCTTGAAGCTGCTTAAAACAAACAGCCTGAACCTGAATTCAAATGTGCCGATATTCCGGCCAATTACTTATGTATATTTGGCCAAAAAACCACTCATCGGCCATAAATTTGAAATTCCTAATCGAATTAAAGCCAAAGCTAATGTAAATTTAGCATTTGCAATGCTAATTCGCAAAGAACTTAAGTCGTATACATATGTAGTCGTATATAAATTTGTATATATACATATATATATGTATATCGATTAAAGATTCTCTACAACTTTCACTCAACATGCCGCCGCAGTCATCATTGAAATATGTTTGCTTTCTGTTGAGTGCGAGTTTGAGGCCTTCAAAATTCTATTTCCGCCCCAAAACAATAAAGACTGCTACGAGCTTTTTTATTAACATTAGAATTGACCATTGGTTATTAATTTGCATTCCCATTCAAGAGCAGATTTGTTAAGAGAAGAAAGTGGCAGATCTTCCCGCAAATGACTTCCAATTAGCCCGATCGGGCGAAAGGTTGTGCGGATCAAGCTTTACCTCCTCTGACTCACTGTAGTGTGTATTGGATATTGTTGTGTTGGCTGATCGGCATTCTATATACGGATCTGGAGCAGTCAGTCACACACGCCCCCGCAAGTGTGTAACTGGGACACACACTATTCGGGGTCGTAAAGCCCACTTCGAGATCACTATCCCCACAATCTGAATAATTCAGGCAGGCTGAAAGAATATTTTGCTTCGGTTTTAGTACGGATATAGTAGTCCAGAGAGTTTGGGGGGGGAGTATTTGGTTATCAGAGCGGAAGCATCTACGACGTTAGCTGGCGGTGTTTAGGGGTGTTCTACTGTACCATAATGATCGACAACGACTCACCTCAGAACAGGTGGGGTGTGCTCTCTCTCTCTCTCTCAGTGTATATAGTCTCAGTGTGTGCTGGATCGTTATTTTTTTGCAAGTTCTCAGTATTTTGCGCAGTTCTAATTACACCTATTTATTGTATTTGTATTTGCTGTGGGTTCGTTTTGTTATTATAATATATTATATGTATATCTCGTTCGGCACACACCAATTACATACAAGATGTGGGTTATTTATTTCACTTGCCAAGTGTCGTCGCGCAAAGTTACTGTCGAAGTTGGAGTTTTATTTCGCTATGCACGTCAAATTTTAATTAGTCAACACGACAAAATCATCGAAAAACGTTTGCACAATTAAGCGAAAATTTATCACGATTTGTGTTTGAGATTTTTATGTCGCTTTGCGTGGGCTTCACTGAACGAACGAACAAATGATCGTTGCCTGCTTAACTTTTGTGTGTTTTATTTTTCCTTTTTTTAAGACAAAAGAGTATCCTTTTTGGCAGAGATGGGCGCTGGCCAGTTCGTTTGATTTTATATAGTATTTTGATGCATAAATTTATTCAATGATTAATAAAGGCGAACGCGACGCAGTTTCGTTTGTGGAGGGCCTGATCCCGAGAGCTTCTCACCGGACCAAGTGATCGCGAGCAGTGCTGAGAGCCGACTGAAGTCCGGATCTGGCCGAGATCGCTGGCAAAGCTTGGAGAGCCATGGAGAGAGCTTGGCACCTGAGGCGGACAAGTGCAGCCGGTGTTTGGAGAGCGCGGAAGAGACTGGATTGCTCTCGCGATCAAGTTCGTGTTCTGCGGTCTTTCGTTTCGCGAATATGAATCAAATCAAGGTTCGAGTACTCACTCGAAAACAAGTGAAACCAGATCGCCCAAACATTCTTGGGATGTTTTCCTACGCGCGCTCGCTGGCAAATATGAAAATATCGCTCTGCCTTTTGCCCGATGATGTTCCTTAGGCTGTCAACCAGTTTCCACTGGCTACTGTTCGGTGACCCTCTACTACTCCTCCTTCTCCTCTGCATCCCCCCACCCCGGGGCCACTCCCACTCATCAATCACTAGTCATTAAAGCCGAGCACTAATTAATTCATCTTCTAGATAGCAGCCAGCAGAGGGTGCTAATCCCTGGCCTCAAAGGTAAACAATGCGTATAATATGGCCAGAACTCAACGATGGGATAAGTTTTAAGCAAAAGAATACAGTCCAACATCGGTCACTGGGAATGATTAAAACGAATTTTTAAAGTGTCAAGTTTCGAGTGTTAATCATTCCATAGATTTTACGAAAATCATGTTGATCTATCACAAATATAAACTTCAATATGGAATGGAGTTGAAATGTCATGTTTAAAATAATTGAGTGTGATAACTAGGGTTTTCACAAACCTCAAGTGGTCAAAAATTAAATAAGTAAAGTTTGCATTGAATTTGCTACATTAAAAATTTCGTTTCACAATTTTATATGGATTTTTTAAAGTTATAAGAACCTTAGAAATTTCTGGAGAACACTTTTATATTAAGCTTGTTAGAATTTGAATTATATAAAGAAGTATAAAGTACACTTAACAAAATAAGATTTGAATATTTAAATGATAAAAACCCATAACTTTACCTATAGAAAAACGTGTTCTGTTTCAGAAACTCCAACTTCGATTGGTTCTTTTCGTTGGCGTTTCCCTGTATTCACATGTTCATATATTTGCGCGTTTAAATCCACACACTTGAATATTTGAATGTCACAGTAATTAATCAAAAGTCGGGGAAATAAGCAGCACATACAAATAAATCATCGATCGTCATCGTCGGTCAAGAAACTATAAAGCACGTCCACTTCGTCCCCTTACTTCCCTCTCACCACTCCGACATATCGAAGGAGGGCCCCATTGGGTTTTTAATAAAGTTGTCAACCCACGGAACTGGCGTGTGAAGCACTCTTTTCAGTTTACACAATTAAAAAATAATTTTTATTTTCTTATCTAAAGAAAGACATTAAAGGCAGCGAGGTAATGTGTCTATATTCCAAATAAATTCTTTAACATTTACGTATGGAATTGTTGATAAATATGTTATATAGTTATAGATAATTTGATTAAATATATGTCTATTAATAAATTGAAAACGAAAATTTGTGAAAAAATAAGAATTTGTTATTTACTAAAGATATTAAAAGCAAAGAGGGCATATTCTTAAATTCTTCATTATAAATTTATTGACTTTTATGTTTAGAAATATATAGAAATAGAAATATTTGTCTACATAATAATGCCTGCTTAAAAGTAGTTTTTGTAGATTTCTTATTATATTTTAAACTAAAATATAGTGTAAAATGAGTGAGAATATAAAATTATTTGAGGTTAAAGATATAACAATAATATTTTATGTATTGCTTTATTTCAATCATTGAAATGGAAACACTGTACTATAAAATCAATTAAAAAAATTAGTGTCAACAGGCAACACTCTTTCCCATCTACAAAATTTAATTAATTTAATTTCTTATTATTATTGTTTTCCTTACATTGTTTTCCTTGGCTTATTATTATTATTGTTTTTTTTTAATAATTAAAACGGAAAACTACAAAAGGTCATGATTTTAAAATTTCTTTCGGTGTACTTTTTTCCTTTTGTTATCAAGTGTACACTTTGCATTTCGAGTGTTTAATTGTGCGCCGCATAACGGTAAAACGGAGCGAAGGCCAGGCAACTTCTCGGACACCCCTTCGCAAAATTTTCTTTCTATGGCCCATTTAAACACGTTTTATGAATGAAAAGCGGGATACGAAAAGCTCGGCATCTCCCTGAGCTTCACTTTTAAGCCCCTGGGAGAGCTTTGCGCGGAAACCTGAAAAATGCGCTGAGCTTTAGTGCGAAAAAACCACATTTTCACCAGCACAGAGCGCCCACACATTTTCCCATTCAGTTTGTTGTTCTCGCTGCGTGCGGTTTGAGTTTGTTTCTTTATCAAGAATTTGTTACCTTTAAATTGTTAAAAAATATAGTTTGCCAGCACGGATGCTTTTTGCCAACTATTTGCAAATCCATAATCCGTATACAGCGCCTAATTGGTATTCAAAAGTGAATGTCCAGCTGAAATAAGAGTGGGGAAATGGCATCATTATTTGGCCAGGCCAAAAACGGGAAGCCCCTGCTGTGTGATATAAGGCCGTAAAAAAAGCTCCGCGACAAGTGAGTCCGAGCTTTCCTCCCGTTAGTCGTCGTCGCGCTCATCAGCTGACCCGAAGCAACAACAAATAGAGCGCTGGGAAGGCAACAACCAAACAACACACTGTTAACTTTCGCGCTAAAAATACCCAAAGTTCATGGTCAACGTCCTGGAAGAGAGGACAAAGGATAGGCAATCGGCAAAACCCAGTCGTCACTGATTTTCGCATGCCAAAATGGCTCTGATTCGCTGCTGCTTCGAGCCGCCGGAATTGCCGGAGTTCTTTGACAGTTTCGTGCAAAAGTGCACGGATCCAAGTTGTAAGTATAGTTGCAAGTTTGATTGAAGGGAGAAACCTTTAAGTCTGAAGAGAAACCTTCACATTTTGGAAAGGCTCTAGAAAAACACTAAAACGAATACAATACACGTTGAATATCAGACGTCTTTTGCTGTTCGCTTTTCATAAATATAATAGAATTCGAGTGAAGCATTTCTAGGGTATTATGTGGCTATTATATCATTTATATAGTCCAGAATTACATTAAATGTTGATATAAAAAATTTATATTTCAATTTTAAAGAAATTATAAACAAGTCAAATGAATGAAATATACTATTTATATTTAACAGTATTTAAGGGAAATAAAAACTACACTCTAGGTTGGCCTTTAATTTGATGCCCACAATCTGGGTTAACAGTCTGGTCTATCAAAAGAGTTGTTTTTCCTTAAATTCTTGTAGCAAAATCATATTAAATTTGGTAAAAAAAATTAAAAATCTAAATTCGTTCGATGCAGGTTCTGATTTAAGTAGCAACATGATAGGTAAAACTTAAAATCAAGTAAATTTTGACCAATTTAAGGTTGAAACGTCTTATTTAATAATGAACAACTGCTTTATATATATAAAGTTAAAAATATTCACTGAACATTAGACTAAGTAATAATTAATTAATTTATTAATTAATCACCAGATTTCATTTCAAATACTGAGCCACTATTTAATCACGGGTACTTTAGGCGCCGCCTATCGATAAAAGCGGTTCGAGTTTTTATCCCATTCCTAGATTCCAATAAGAAAGTTTACATTCTTACATTGTATACCTCTTTTTACATTTTACGCATAATCGATAGTCCAACCATCGATAGTCGCCAACCATCGATAGTGCTCTTTTCTCACCTCTAGTGCCTCCCTCACCCCCTCGCCCAGCTAACTTTAAGATACTCTTTGACAAAAAATCCACAACAAAAGAAAAAAGTCACGAAGCTGGGCAGTTTTATCGCAGCGTTTTATTATCTAATGCCGCGATAAAGACCCCAAAGAAGCGAGTTACGACGCCAACATGCCTGGTAAGCAATTAGGAGAGCGCTTGGCGTGCCACGGACCATTGAGCGGAGTGACCTCGCCGCGAAAAACACACAAACACCTGGCCATTGGCCAATCCGTCCAATCGGCAAGGAATGACGACACCTACTAATCGATGGCGGTGACTGGAGTTGGTGGGAGCTAGGGGTCGGAACTGCACAGAAAGGGTTGTGCGTTGGTGCGATGAGCGGCAGAGCCAATCACTCAAATCAAGCCGGATGGATGGTCGAAGAGGGGTGGCGCGCGAACAGAACAGCGAAACTATAGTCCACTAGAGCAATTATCGCGATAAGATTAAGCGGAAAATGGTGGTCGCACCCAGTAGAGTCGGTTTTCACACACCACACACACGCTCGCGCCAGCGGAGTGAGCGAGTGGCGCCATGTTCACCTACCGCTGCATCCACGTCTGCCTGCCGAATCCCTCTAATCGCTGTGCCTTTCCCTGCGCCCTTCTAGGCTGCTGCGGTTGCTGCTCGGCGCTGAGGCCGCGCTACAAGCGCCTGGTCGACAACATCTTTCCGGTGAATCCCGAGGACGGGCTGGTCAAATCGAATATGGAGAAGCTGACCTTCTATTCGCTCAGTTCGCCGGACAAGCTGGACCGAATTGGGGAGTATCTGTACCAGAAGGCCACCAAGGACATCAACAGGAAGCGCTACAAGTGAGTAATAAGGATTTGCATATAAAGCCTTGAACCTCTGTCAACTTTAAATGCTTCGCAGGCTGGCCGAGATTGCCATGGAGGCCATGGACCTGCTGCTGCAGGCGTGTCATGCCCAAACGACGCTCAATCTTTTGTGGAGTCCTTCCTGCGCATGGTACAAAAGCTGCTTGAGGACTCGAATCCCAACCTCAAGATAATGGCCACTAATTCGGTAAGGTTACATCTTTAGACTTTAGTGGAGCCTGCTTTTATAACGCTTTTGTTTCTTTCCATAGTTTGTGAAGTTTGCCAATATTAACGAGGACACGCCTTCCTACCATCGTCGCTATGACTTCTTCATCTCCAAGTTCTCCTCGATGTGCCACAGCGATGCAGCCAGTCTGCGGGACAGCTTGCGGCTGGCGGGCATCAAGGGATTGCAGGGCGTCATCCGGAAGACCGTGTCCGATGACTTGGTCGAGAATATTTGGGAGGCGCAGCATATGGAGAAGATTGTGCCCTCGCTGCTGTTTAACATGCAGGTAGGTCTTCTTTTGCAACAAGCCTATATATTTGTGCCCGCTCGGAGATGACCTGACCCGATGAGACCCATTGGCCAATTCATTCAACTAATTTCAATGTATTTTGCATTTCGTTTTCCGTGTATTTTGTTAATGCAAACCAAAACCAACCAAATACCTATTACAACAACACAACCAACACACAACAACAACAAATAATCAAAACAGTTTTGTGTAAACGTTATGTTCGTGAAGAAAAATTTACTGGCGGTAATAATAATGATCTCGGATCGATTTACATATGCTTTAGATCGCTGTCTTAGCTCTAGCCCGTAGCCCAGTTACTAATCTATTTCTCTATCGCTGCAGTCTGGCGATCTGACGCCCGTTGAGGATGCCACCAATGTAACGCCACCGGCCCTGGCCGAGGAGGTGCTACGCGAGCTAGTGGGACGTGCCTCTTTCGGACACATTCGTAGTGTGCTCAAGCCGCTGCTGACGTAAGTAGTGTACCCGGAAACACAGCCAGCAGAAGGCGTTAATCTTTCATATTTACAGCCACCTGGATCGTCATGAGCTGTGGGTTCCAAACACCTTTGCAATTCACACGTTCCGCATCGTGATGATCTCCATACAGCCGCAGTACTCGTACACCGTGGTGGAGACGCTGATGCAGCATCTGGACAACAACTTCAAGTCCTCGCCTAAGACACGCACCTCGCTGGCCGTCGTGCTGTCCAAGATCATTGCCATTGCGGCGGGCGAAAGTGTGGGGCCCTCGGCCTTGGACATCATCAACAATCTGCTGACGCACCTGCGGACTAGTGTGAGCACCACCAGCGAGATCACGCCCGAGGAGTCGCAGTACCAGGAGGCGCTGATCAATGCTCTGGGCGAGTTTGCCAACCACCATCCCGACTACCAGAAGATCGAGATCATGCTGTTCATCATGAACACGGTGCCGGATCTGTCCAAGAAGAGCAAGGGCGACCAGATGCTGCAGAATATTCTGCTCAAGTCTCTGCTTAAGGTCGGCACCCAGTACAGCACCGTTTCCTTTGAGAAGGCCTTCCCCGCCTCCTTCCTGCAACCGCTGCTCAAGATGGCGCGCGCTCCGCACGACCCCACGCGCATGGTAGTGATGCAGATCTTCCAGGCCCTGCTCGACCGCCACCAAAACGAGAAGGTACTCAGCAGCGTCGGTGTCAAGCCGTATCCTGCTTTGTCCCAGGAGCCACCTTCGCGCTCCGACATCATATTCACGCACAAGTACGGCGCCAACATCATGCAGGCCCTCATCGACAGCATGGCTCTATCGGATCGAGTGGACGCCCTGTCATCCAGCTACAACACCGCCGCCCTGCTTATTGTCGAGATGTCGTGCAATGAAACCGTGCAGGAGTTCCTCCTGTTTATCTTGGGGTGAGTAATACTGCGCCGACAGATCGTAACTCTTAGCTTATGCTCGATTTTCCCTCTATACATAGCATTCAGCAGGTGGCCAGCACCACGGAGACCCTGGGCAACGTCCACAAGTGTAACCTGCACATCATCGCCATTGGCCTGCTTGTGCTCATCTCACGGGTGAGCGGCATAAACAACCTACTGGACTACGCTCAGAAGATCGTAGACGCGCGGCGCGAGGAGGCCAGCCACTATCTGCCGCCGCTGCTGGAACCCAAGAAGATGGCCAACAAGAACTTGAATCTGGCGCTGCCTCACCTTGCCATCGACAAGCTGGCACTGGGTGAGTGCCTCCAGAATGCGGGCATGGACGCCCAGCGCCTGAACACGGGCGCTCCTTACGCGCTCAATCAGACGGATCATCCCGGCCACCGGCACTCGTGGGTGGAGTCGGTGAGCAACCAATTGACGCAGCGCAACAGCTCTGCTGATCTGACCGTCTACAATGGCGATGTGGATAGCGTAAGCAGCTCGCCAGGTGTGTGCAAGAAGCTCCTGGCACCAGAATTCAACTTTGATGCCATGAAGCGGGCACTTGCCGAGCCGACGGAGGCAGCCAAGCGGGAGCTGCGTGAGCGTCAAATGCAAATTGTTCGCACATTCCGCGAGGGCGAGTTCGACGATCTAATGAGACGCACAGAACCGAAGGTATGTTTAGAATTGTTACAGCATCAAGATTTATTTTAGAGTAAATGGATATCAAGTGTAAACTCAGATTGGCTTAGGCCTTATCATCATTTGGGCGAATGTTAGGGAAACGTTGTAATCACGCCATTTACCCCAAATAATTCCATAGTGTTTCGATAGTCGTCGGCCATCCTTGTAGTATTCTCCAGTGAGCGCACTATATAGAATTTCAAGGTAGAAAATGATTTTCGTATTCAAATCTAATATATATTTACCCTACTGCACAATTTCTATACCACCAACCGCCTTCACCATGATTACTAACGCAATTTCCGTCTCCATCATCATTATCCCGATCAATAGTGCTAAATTTATATTGTCGATGATAACTCAATGAATCTCCAGCAGTTCCCGTATATTTTCCCAGCGATTTCAGTTCATATTCTTCCTGCTCACTGCCAACGACAAAATCATCGTAATTAGCATATGCAGTGCTTCCATTAACATCTTGCAGTTGTATGTAAAGTTCGTGGCGTTGTGATCGAGTCATTAAGTGCAACTTTTCCAAACCGATAACAAACTCTCCACTTAAATCCCCGAATCCCTCCCTGTAATTACTCCAGGTGCGGTTGAAGTTCTCGCTTCCGTCAAAGCGACTGAGAACAACGGTCCATCCAGATGTAGCCGAAACGCAGGGAACTTTAAATGGTGGGGTTCCCCGAAGTTTAATCTGGTAAATGCCATTGGGACTGCCACTCGGACATGTGTTGGGTAGATTCAGCTCTTTTTGTGTGTACGCCTTGAGCTGTTCACTTATCTCGGAGAATCTTGCTGCAGTAGAATTCACTTGATCTTGGAGGTCACGAATACGTTCGTCTTTTCCCGTGATAAGGTTTTCATTGTCTTTCAGTTGGTTTTTAGTACTTTCCAACTGACTCTGCAAGTCCTTAATGGTGTCCTCCAAAGAGTTTATCTTGTCTCTGAGTTCGTTACTCGCATCAGCTCCCTTCTTCAAGCTAACAAAATGATCCAGGATCGGCTTTAAAACTGAGAAACAATGTCCATTGCACTGGTTCTCAATGATCAGTGGTTCTTCAGCAATTGGGGGAAGGACTTTATCTCGATCATCGCTGGGTAGGGATAGGATTCCTTGTAGAAAAATACAAATTGCAATGGCACTACTAAGTTGGAACATGACTTTTCCGTTGAAGAATCGACATAAAACTGATTCTGAGGCGAGAATGATTGACTTGAACTTTTGATTAATCTTTTGTGATAGGAGAGCATTTTTTTCAATATTCTCAAATCACATACATACATATTTTACTATTCTGCTAAGAAAGCGTACTCTTACTCATTTACAGGGTGTTTTCTTCAAACCCACCATATACATATATGTATAAACTAATGCTTATAATCGAGTCGAATTATTAATATTTGCATCATTTTCAGCACGATCTCATCCAGAACCGCCTGAACGAGCTCTTCAACTCGCTAGCCGTGGAGCGTCAGATCACGCAGAGCGACACCAAGGCAGCCCAGCTGCAAGCCAGCAACGAGAAGCCCATCTACGAGACAAACTTCCCCGAACTCTTCTACTACTAAACTACGATCCGGAAATACCATCCGGCGAATATACTCTACTCAATCCACTATATCGATAGCCTTCAATGCGAATTTGTTTGGTGTGCGTATGGGAATCCTAGTTAAATCCAATTAAATTTTTCGTTGTTAAATGCAAACAATTCAATTGTTAAACATCAGCCTGCATATGTACTTTGAATTAATTGTTATACAAATATATTATATTAACAGTATTATGAAGTACGTCGAAATTCAGGTGAAAAATGGAATCGTGCGGCAAAAAGAGTTCAAGAAAATCAACATCTTACGGCCGCAAGTCCAGGAAGGCGATTAAGCCTAAAGCAATAAGTTATTGCAGCCCAAAGAACAGCGCAGGGCGCAATCCGTTTTTCCATTACCTCGCCTATTTCCGGAAGCGGAACAAGGTCAAGCTGTGTCATCTGTCATCGTGTAAAGTAGCCCTATTGGCGGGTCGCCAATGGACGAATATGAGCCCAGAAGAGCGTGAACCCTTCATTTGTGCTGCAAGAAGCTCCAGTTACACGTATCGGCCACGTAGAAAAAAGGTTAATTACCTGCTGGGAAACCTACAAGAGTACGTGGCGGGGGGAGAGTGTCAAGCGCAAGCCCTGTGGAACCTGATGAGGGGCATGAAGTCCTGGCAGCAGCATTCCGTGCTGAATGATCGAATAACCAAGTGAAACGAGACGGCAGCTGCTTGAATCAATAGTTTAAACTTTAATAAATGATTTATCACTCGAAAAGGTAATGGTTACACTGTGCGTACATGAAGCGAGTAAAAAATGTGTTGGGACAGCAGTTAGATGCGTTAATTGTACGTACGTAATTCGAACACACTTAAATGTATCTTAGTTACTTTGCCGCGTTTCTTTTGTTACTTAAACATAACAAACAATCTTAAAAGACGGCCATTTTATAAACTATATATAAGTATGTATATGTATATATGCAACATCTGCGATTGTGCGAGGGCACGAGAAAGATCGCGTCTACTCTAAACAAGTAGATGATGATGAAAGTGTATGCAATTAGATACAAGATAATTTTGTGATGTAAACGATTTACAAAAATATACTTATAGATATATATAGATCTGATGCGTATGCCAAAACGATTGCCGGTATTGATAATCAGATAATCAGATCGGTTAGCAACGAATTTACAATTACAAGAACGAGGCCCGAACAGGCAGCGGGCAAATGAACAGAAAATGGTGGTAGTGGTGGGCACTGGTAGTGGTTAAGCGCGCTCAGCACGCCAAATCGCCTAAGGCGTCCGTCTCGCTGCTGGCTACACGCCATGTAATTCTAGGCCGCGGAGCCGGTGACGACGGCGTGGAAGCCTCAGAGTCGCCTATAAAGACCGCCGAATCGTCGGCGCTGGACGGGGTCATCGGACGTTCGCAGTCCGCTCCAATTTCCGAAATGGGTATGGATAGGGATGTCGTCCTCGTGTCCTCGCTGTGCGGCACAATCTCCTTGAAGCTCTGGTTTGGCGGCATCACGACCAACATGTTGATGGAAATAAGCAGCGGATGCACAAGTTTCGGGTCGAGTATCATCAATGGCACCTCCTCATTCTTCTCCAGACTGAGCGAGCATATCTCCGAAGTCTGGGTGAACACCGCCTGCCGTTGGGCATTGATCGATGTCACCGTTGTGCGGATCATGAATTTGCGCTTCGTCTGAAGGCTAAGCACTCGCTCGTGCTCGTGCCGGTGGTGGCGACGAATATTCAGTCTGCGCGAGTCCATAATAAGGATGAGATCCATGCCGAAATTGAAGCCGGTCCAGCGCCATTTCTGGTAACCGGGCTCAAGCAGCAGTCGGCCGCAGCGCATGCAGTTTTCAAAGAATTGGTCGTCATCCATATGATGGGGACTGCTGTGGACGCAGAAGGAAACAATCAGATTTGCAAAGGCCAACAACTTAATGTCTCTTACCAATCTTCCTGACCATGGTCTATTCGCAACAGGGCATCCCAGTGGTTATGGATGTGCCGATAGAGCCACTCCTTGGGTATTATGTTGTCGTTATAGATAATCTTAAGATCCATGTAGTGGTTGGTCAGGTACTGGGTGCGCAGTTTCTGGAAGACTTTCACGTAGGGCTGTCCCTCGGGCGTGGCGAGAAACGAGCGCTCCTCCATGCGGTTGGTGAAGTACGTCCACTGGACGACATCCACACTGGGCGTGTGCGTTTCCACGCCAGCATTCGTTAAGCGCTCTTGCGTCTTTAGCGCCTCCGCCCTCTGCACAGGATCCTCGGGGTCGTAGTCGGGATGTAATCGCAGGAACATCCACGTGCGCAGCAGAGTGTAAAGTGAGAACTCGGTCTGCATAACGTACAGGTCATGACTACCGGTCAGAGCACTCATCAGTTCGATGGAGATGTGTCTGAGCAGGTTTGGCTGCTTGCTGTAGATGCTCAACAGGTTGATTTGAAACCACTGGAACGTGGACTTTTTCACACCCACCACACCGTACTGGCAGGCAGCCTCATAGTACTGGATGGCTGTCTCTGGACTGATGGTATCCACCATCACCTCGGCGCACTTGTCGATGATCCCATCCAAGTGGAACAGCGTGGCCGTGGCCAGAACTGGGATCACATCCGTCGGCTCGATCTCGATCTCGTCAGAGTACATCGATCCGAATACAGCATCCAGGCTGGCCACGGTGATCCGATCGTCGAGGATCGTGATCTGCACGAATTTCTGCTGCGCCTCCCGCCACGTCCCATTGAACATGGTGTAGAAGTAGGGACTCTGACTCAAATAGACCTTGTGCAGATGCCACACCTTATCCAGAGCCATCACGGACACATCCGAGTTCTTTTGCTCCTTAAACAGAGCCTTGTATATGTACTGGGTGGTGGTCAGAAGCTTTTTCCTTAAGGCGAACAAAGATATTAGTAAATATGTTGACTATACACGCTTAGCTATACTCACTTCTTGGGCAGTGTCGCGTCCAGCTGGGCCTGCTCATCCTTGCCCAATGAGGAGTCCGTGCTGCGCTTCCTCTTCCGCCGATTGCCAAACACATCGGCCACGTTCATCTGCATGGAGCCCACGATCTGACCCATGGCTCGGCGCAGAAATTAAAAGTCTAAAAAAACAAGAATCGATATTATGTCTATATACACAAATACACATGATTTAATGTAAGAGATTTGGGTTGGCAATAGGGCGAAAGGCCTCTTTATCGATCTGTCAGGTTGCGTGTTGATAGCGCCCCCCAAATGGAACCGGTTGACCCACTTTCGTTACGCCAAACTGTAACGCAGTAACGCTGTAATAATGGGGAAACCTTTACTGGGTGGGCGAATACCCGTGTGGGTGACACTCTAGACCACAGAAACCCGATGGAAAGCGCATCCATTCATCAATGATGATGATGTCATGGCAGCACCGCCCCATCCCAAGCTTAGCGATACGTGTAATCAAATCCCACGCGAGAGGGGCGACGCATAGTGTCGGAAAACTTGTAAAGCTTGTCTAGATGATAAACATTTTGTGGTTTATTTAAACAATTATATGTCTTAACTGCTTTCAATAACTGTGTTCTTAAGATATTTTCGGTGAATCTTCAGTTTAGATAATATTTTCACATGTCATGGTTTCCCACAGCGTCATTTCATGATGCATCTTAATAAAGTAAATATTGACGCATGGAATTTTAAATCTTAAAGCTGGAAATATAAATTTCAAAACCACTTTGATATTACATAAAATTAACTATTTATAGCCAGAAATGGATTTTATCAAAATTTGCTTGTTTTCATATCTAAACACAACCGAATTGTCTGAGAACCTATGAAACCCAACCCAAAATTATATTCTAGAGCCACAAGTGGCGGGTTGTTAATTAAACATTATTATGGCAACGAATATATGTACATCCATATATGAATAGTGCCTTTACTATAACAGAATTGATAAGATAGTTGTATACACATGTATGCATATCATTGAATGTCAAGCCATCAGCTAGAGATAAAACTATACTAATAAATATCATTAAATCAAAGCGTAAAGATAGGGATTAGACCATAACTAACTAGATAAGTTGTATTTAATACAACTTTGATTGAATAATACTCATAACACTCATACTAAACTATATTCATTTAAATTTAGGAATATTAACATAATAAAAATAAATAACTAGGAATTAGCTTTAAGTAAAGGCTTATTAAATTCTTCTTAGCTTTAAATGCACAAAATACAAGACAGCTTAGACTTTGAGTTCATTAAAACCGCAGTCAGCTTACAAGAGAAATATCTTGGGAAAAACGAACCATTTGTTAAGTCGTGCTAATGTGGCAACTATCACACCTAGACAAAGCAAGAGGAATTGTGCCTAATGAGTAGAAAACCCTACCTGTTTTCAGAGTACTAAAAGAATGCAGCTTTCGTGCAATGGCGACTCTTGTTCTCCACTTTTCAATTATCTTTAGAAACATTCTACAATGACCTGAACTCCATTATAGCGACAAACATTTTCGGGTAATGTAGCTGGAGGGAGGGAGGTACACTATAATTAGAACGAGATCAAACGAGCAGCGATTCCATGAGCATGCTTATGCCTTGTCGGCGGCGACCAATTGCTGGAGCTGGACGGACAGACGGACGAACGTGTGTTGTAAGCATGTCAAGGCCGGTACGGAAGCCACTGCTGCCCATAAATAAACAAACGAAACGAATGAACGCACGTTAGCAAAGTTGGCTGGGCTTTCGTCACCTCGCGTCGTATGGATCGCATTGATATGGACGACCAGACCATACCCGTCCCAATAATCACCCGATGATTATCTCGAACACATTCAGACACATCTGAAAGTATTGATGGGGAGGATCGAACCAAGGTGGGGAAAGGCCTGGGGGGTGGGGCTTTCCAACCAGATGTTAGGTTTGAGTTTGTTTTGGTGCGGCGCAGTTCCGAAAACAAAAGTAAACTATCTTAAAACCGGTTTTTGCCGCAGCACGTATTTCTTATAAGACCAAAACAAGACGGCGAATGCAGTGCTTCAAATTACGTCACCGTTTGAAGCCAGAAGAGCGCAGAAGAGCAATGGAGAGAGCGAAATACTGAAAACCGTGTCGCACTTCTAAATATATCTCGAGTTTCCCCAAGTCGTAAATCTGCAATTTGAACAAAGAACTGCGCAATGAAACCGAATAAACAGAAGAAAATATAGATACAATATTTTTTTACAAAACAAAACTTACTCTTAATATAGTTTTGAAGATTTTAAACTAGTTTCAATGACATTAGGAAAAACTCGACTGAAACCAGTTTACTATTCGAAAGAGGTGGTTGTACTGCTGCAAAGTTGTAGTGCAACTTAAACTTTATAAAACTTTCAAAACATATCTATAAGATTTATAGATAGAAAATCTGATAATTGCAATCTCAGCTATACAAATATTTTAAGAAAACTACATTTCGAAGTTTAGGAAGTCAATAGCTGTCAATGCCTTAAGTTCATGTGTCTCTAGGCCTTGAATAAACTTTAACAAATATGTTGAAACTAGTTTAAATCCCATTTAAAGAATAATAGGTTATTGCACCGAACCGTGAATATTTATTGCAACCAAGGTAAAACTTATTTGTCTGAGAAATTTTGTTTGTAAACTTCCAAGGCATAGATGAACACAAACCAAATATTTAGAGAAAAACAAATGAGAAAAAATTAAAAAAGTTAATGTTGCCCAAGGAGTTAACGGCTAAATAACGTGGAATATCGTCGAAAGAAGCCAACAAGCATGGGCGGACTGGAGTGGGACTCGAACTCGCGTTTCGTTTACGTTTTCTTCGGGAATTCCAGGCACCTTAGACAACTGAGCTAGCGCAGCTAGAAAAATGTGGGCGTCGGAGACCGGAGATATCTAGGTACATATATGTATTTATATGCTGTCTGCTGTTCTCTAGTTCGGTGAACCCTCCCGATTAGACCTTTCTCCGACTTTTGGCTGGGAAATCAGCTGTTTCGGCTGAAGAAAGCATGTTGATTCGCACTATTTACGACTGCCTGTTGTTTGGCGCTGATAACAGCAGCAACATGGGTTGGAGATATGGGGACCGGACCACCAACTTTTCCCCATTCCCTTTTCGATTCCCCCCTTTTCGGCGCTGCGGAGTGCAGTTAATCTACGGCTATAAATAGCAAACAAAAGTGAATTCGGTGTGTGACGTAGTTGGGAAATGCAGCAGACGGGGGTGGCGGAGGGTTCAAAGGGGAGGAAAGCAAAGAAGAGCGTGGAAAAGAAACGCGAGAGAACAACGGCGCGAACGAAAGACGCAAAAAACGGGGAGGCGAGAAGTACACATACGCAAGAGGGAACTGATAAACGAACTTACTGTTAATATGCAGTTACTTCCGCGACTTTATATAATTGCAATTGCACTCCACGTTCACCCAGGTGTTGATAAGTAAATAACACACCTAAAAAAATCCTTTGCGAGTGTCTGATCTAAATCATTTCATTCCAGTTCGATAAAAAAAGTCTTTGTTTTTGTATGCACTTGGCACGCACTCCCGCTTCCACGACCGTTTCGAGCAAAAAAATTTTAAACACCCCTCCGTTGACCGAAAACAATTTTTTGTTCGAACTTTTGTTTGTATTTTTTAGAGTGGTCATATTTTGTTAATTTTTTTCTTTGGTCACTCTAACTTCGAAGCTGTTGTTTAACATTTTACATCGTACACATCTAAAAAAACATTTGACACGTTTACAGATACATGGGGTAGAATTTTTGACTTTTGGGGTTGAATTCTCAAGAAAAATGTAAAATTCGTAACATAGCTTCTTTTTTTCTCTCTTAACGAACTCTCTCTCTCTCTCTCTCAGGTGCTGTCTGGTGTCGGTCGTTTGTAAACTGTTGAAAATATATAAAAAAAAAACAATATATGATATTTTGTATAGGTATGTTTTGATCACTTGTTTCTGCTCACTCTGAATCCCGAAGCTGTTGCTTCTTAGATCTTACACGTTTACATGTATAATTATCATGTATTGAAAATATATCAATATTTCGGTATGTTTTGTATATAAAGTTTCTGGTAACTCTGAATTCCGAATCGGCTATTTAACATTTTAGACAATAAACAATTTTACACGTTTACAGGGTAGATAATAATACAAAAACCAACTAGATTATAAAGTAAACATTGATAAAATTAATTACAGTAATTTTTCAATACAATATATTTAAAATGTGTGAATGGCTTAAAAATCGTTAAAATTGACTTTTTATTCGCCAAAAAGACCAGATTTCTAATACATGCAAACGAGAAATTTTATAAAAGAAGCAACATTCATTGACCTTAAATATAGCATATATTATTTATTTATTTTATTTATTGTTGTAAATAGCTTATTTTTATTTACGCGCCCTACTGTGAGCAATTTTTTACGAAATTATCAACATACGGTCAATTAATTTTGGATAATACGAGGATCAGCACGGGTAAATAATTAAAATAACTAAATCAATTCGACGTTATAATTAAAAAAAAATAACCCAGCGAGTTTTTTTAAATTTATTTTTATTTATACGTGCCGTGTATTTTACTCAGAATTTGCAACTCATATGACCCCAATTCTGACCCTATTAGGTAAAGTTCCTCAATTTCAAAGTTATCTAAGAGATATATATTTTATATTTATATTTTAATTTTTAACAATTTTATACAATTTTTATAAAACAAAGCTGTCATATGAATCACTGGAAATTTTGTAGAAAAAAATATATATTGCAAGTTTGTTCAAGTATTCCTGCGCATAAACGCCGCCAGTGTTGCAATACTCCCACATTATTGTAAACTTCTCGTGTGGGATTTTCGCACTCAAATTTTCGCTTTGCGCACCAAATAAAATTTAAAATTTTCGCAAAAAAATATAGTTTTTTGAATAGTCATTTGAACGTTACATCACTAAAACCTTAAATTAAAAACCAAATGTTAGTTATTTAACCATTTCATTAAAAAAAAAAAATAAATATACTTAAATCTTCACTGTCATATTTATAATTTTAAAAGGATTTTAATTAAATATATTACGTTTAGAATTATTAATAACTTCTTCATGAAATCACCGGCATGAACATTTCCAGTGTTTCAAAACTCTCACATTAGTGTAACCTTCTCGCGTGGGATTTTTCGCACTCAAATTTTCTCGTTGCGCAGCAAATAAAATTGAATACACCAAAAGCAAGAAACGAATTGGACTTGAAAACCCGAACGCGTTGCATTACTAAATACAGCAAAGGTGGGCCAAAAAGTGAAACGAAAACAATTGCCAAATCGGTTGCATAAAACGGACAAGTGGAACATTTTCGCCTGGCAGCCGTGAAAAGTGGCACACAATAACAATAACACTGTGTGTGTTTGTGTTTTCTTGTGTTTTCGTGGTGGTGTTGGTGCAGTAAAAACACACAATTAATGCGTGATTTTCCATTCGCCCATATCTTTTGCAGTTTGTGGGGCGTGCAATGTTCAGGATCCATCTGAAAATGGGTCCGCAACGCAACCAGCTCCACAGCAGCGCCGCCGCCGCCAGTAACAACAACAATGGCGTCGCCGGGGGAAGCAGCGGCGGAGGAGGAAACCGTCACCTCAAGGAGTTTACCTGCTGCTTCGGACTCCATGTCCACACGGCCACCCTGATGATCGGTTTGTGGCACTTGGTAAGTTGACCTTTTGGGACTTTTGTAGTGCAACTAAGTTGGGCGTATACACACCTGTACTCGGTTGTGTCTACGCCGCCACCCACGCATGCAATTCGTCAGTGGGCTGTGCGAAAATTTGACCCTGTTCAGTGTCACGAAGGGGAAAAATCAATTGGCAAGCCGCCGAGTCACTGTCAAACTGTACGAAGCCAGTTACTTTTGCTTACAAAAAAACGTCGCAGCTTTCCCCGCCTGTGACGTCAATGGGGTTTTATTTTTTGCATTTCTCTTCGAACTGGCGGCTGCTGATGCGTCAGCTGATAATCAAAATCGGCGAAATTAGATCGAAATTCGTTTAGCGGAAGTTTTATTAAGTACAAAATCATATGAAACTAACCTTTCACAATTCCGTGACTCTGCGTGCCATTACTTGACACTGAGAGAACTTCTTAGGTAGTTTAGCAATAAGATACAAAATTTATGCGAATTCTAAGTTGTTTATTATATATTAGTAATAGTAAACAGTGGTTTTACTAGTACACTCAGATACAATATAAACAGTGTAAATAGTCCCTGTTCCTGATAATTTATTTTAAATAATTACCAGTATTGAGATAAGAAAAAGTATTATTATTTTTGATCAGAAAGAACATCATGATAAGAATATTTACTCTAAAATAAAACTAGAAACTGAAATTATGTTGAAATATTTCTATTGAAATATTACATATTCCCAAGAATAATTTATAATTTAATTTTTTTATATAGTTTAAGAAAATATAGTTCAGAATAATTGAATGCTTTCACAAACAAATATTTCAGAGCATATTTTAGAGATGATATATTGTAAAGAAAATTATATAAATTATATAAGACTAAGGTTTTACCTTACGTTCTTTTCTCTGTACACCGTCCGTGTGCATCCACTGATCCCGCACATTTTCTCCTAATGCCATACCTCCTGCTTTAATATCGCTTCTTTATTACGGCTCAGGTCACGTTTTGCTGCAAAACTCTCGTCACATGCGACCCTGATTGCAGTTTGACAAGCGCTGGAGGAGCTATCAGTAGCAACTACTGGCAATCTCAAGGGTTTCTTTGTTTACTTTTTGTATATTAGAGATAGTTGTGGCGGTTTGTTGTTCTCCAGCAAATCAAAAAATCGAAGCCCATTGTTGACTCACTGCGATTGCAGATAAGCTGCGGCATTATGTTTTCTAAGCTTTTAATAAACCAAGCAAAAACAATGGAAAACTGCTGCATCAAAGGCCTTCAACTTGAGCAACAGATGCCTCGAGATACGGCGATACTATATCGTATATCCAGCTATGGCCATTTGTGCAAACAGTAACGAGATACTGACTCGTTTCTATGAGCTGTTTCAGTTATTTTTAAGAACTACACGTACCCCACGACGGACGATGCGAAAATATTTACTCTTTAGCAGAGGGTTTACTCTATCTTTCTTCTGGAGGAACATTCTTGATGTGGCTACCCCGCCATAAATCCGCGAATTGTTAATTCAGCTGTCATCTATCAGCAAACAGGCTGCAAATCAAAGCTGGCCAACGAGCCTTATCTATTTTTGCCAGCTTATCATGATGAGCTTGGACCTGCACACTTCGTACAACACACACCTGCTAAACGCACTTGGGAAACTTAGATTTCGAGATATCTCTGAATTCCCAACTCGTGATCCTTTTCTTCACGCTTTATATTGTTATGAATTGAACTATAATTTTAATTACTTTTATTATTATTTTTTTTTTTTATTTTAATGGGATAATATAAGTTGTATATTCTCTAGCATAGGCACTTTCCGCTCACCTTTTCCCTCTACTAATAATGCAAATAAAGTGTTGCCTGGTCTTGATGATGTAGACTTGACCCCCAGGAGTCGCGGTGGCTGCACATCTTTGTAATATTTTGTCAAAGGTCACCCTTATGGTGTTCTTGCATAAATCTTCTGTAAAGGATCAACCAAACTTGGAGTTTTCATCATATATTGTTATTGATCAGCTCTGATCTCTGAAACAAATCAAACTTGTTATCCTTATTAGGCCTTGCTAATTTATTGGAGTCTTTTCTTAACATTGTTCAGAACTCATGAAAGTGTAGCAAGCCTCCGAGTTCATGACAGCACTTGTAACCCATTGCGAGCAGGTCCTTGCCATATTTAAGGATGCTACCGCATACATGCTGTATCACGAGACGAAAAGCTACGGTAGTTTCCTTTCACGTAAATCCCCATTATTTTACCCTGGTGGCCCTTTATATAAACAAATAAACAGTATTAAATGTTAGAATTTTTCTAAAACATATCTGTAACTTAAAGCGTAATAATTAAAATCTTGCACTATAAAAATAGATACTTTACAAATTTTTTCATGAATCAAATTCCCCATTCTTTCTTGCAGTTTCTAAATATTTTGGCTTTGAGCGTTCTTGCCGTTATCTGGCGCAATCCCGAGATGATGGACGAGCTGGAGGGTGGGGGCACTCATGACTACACCGTTGATCTGAGCGCCCCGGCCCTGCCCACGCCGCTGAGCAAGGTCGATCCGCCGTATGCCTACCGCGATCATTCCTTCAACTATCGTAAGCGTTACCGTAAGCAGTGGAGAGAGCCAATTGTGCAACGAATTTAAATTCACGTTTTCCTCTCCCCACTTTGCAGAGAACTTTGACATGGGCGGCTTGGTGTGCACCTGCATGATAGCCATTACGCTGATGATGATCTACGGCACTATCAAGGGGAAACCTTCGCATCTGTTGCCCTTCTTCTGCCTGCAGTTGTTCGATTTCGCCATTACCACGTGAGGATTATAGTAAAGGGGTAACTGCAGAAATCTCTAGGGATCTGTCTTAAACATGCTTTCCTTAGGGTTTTCTGCAACCCTCTGAATAGGGGGATTAGTATATTAAATTGTGATTTAATTTCGTTGTACAGCTTGACAGCCGCTGGATATCTGTGCTACCTGCAGGCTATCCACAGCATCATTGCCGAATCGCATCGTTTGCCGTGGCGCGAGAAGCTGCTGGAACTGCCGCCCGAGGAACTGGTCGTCGTGGTCCTGGTCGTCTTCATTTGCATTGTTTTCCTCAAGGCCTATTGCATTGGCATCGTTTGGCGCTGCTACAAGTACTTGACTCTGCGCCAGCAGCACGTTCGCACCTTGTTCCCCTTCCTGGAGCCACCAACCGGTGTCCACAGCGTGGGCGGAGCTTTTGGTGCCGAGGAGCGTTCGTACTCCACCCTGTTGCCCAATTACGATGAAGCGATTGCCCAATACTTGAAGCAGGCTCCGCCGCCATCCTATCAGGTGGCCATGTCTAACTATCCCGAGGATGAGGGCGCAGCCGAGGGGGCGAGGTCAATCCATCGGTGGCACCGCTGTTTGTTGCGCTTGGCGCGGCCACCACGGCCAATGTCGCCTCCAACACGGATGACAACCTGGACAACAACAATGATGTACCGAACAACAACAATACCGTGCATGTGAACGCCAATACGCCACCGATGCGACGAAGCGATGCGGCCGTTAATGCCAACATCGATGGGGAGGACGATGAAGATGATGACTTGGAGGTGATCGACGCTGGCGTTGAGGTGATCGGTGGCATTCCACCACCACCGCCCTACAACGATGTGGCCGACGCCCAGGTGCAGGTACCATCCCAGTCGCCGCTGCGCCGTGAACCCCACATTCCGGGACAGGTATTCGGTGGGCGCGATGAGAGCCAGGCCTAAGTTTGTGATTTGGATCAGTTTGTTTCTCATTGCGAGTGGGTTGTGACACACACGCATTTCCTTCTTCCCTCTATCCAATCCCCTTCTTGCCCAGACGACCTGCTTTCATTCCCGGCACACATGCACCCGGTCTTTATAGTCGCTTCGATGCAATTGATCGGTGTTGGTGTTTTTAGAGAAACGTAACCGAAACAAGTTTTCGCTTTTAGCCGTCGCTCATTATTGTTGTTTAACGTACAATTAAGATGCTCTAGTTGCTGCTCATTAAGTAAACATACATAAAACCAAAAAACACAAAAAAAAAACATTTTTGCGATGCTGGCAAGGAAAGCTTCAATTCCTTTTCGGCCGCATCTCAGCTGCAACAGTCTGTTAGAACCGTTTCTCATTTAGCCCGTGTTAGCCTGAGCACATCAGAGTTAGTCTAGATCCAAGTAGTTGTTACCAGGGAGAGAGAGAGTGTCGCTTTCCGAACGAATGTTCTATGTTCTAAGCTATATCTCGTAAGACTCTATGCATATTGATTACCGAGTACTGAATCCACAGCACAGGCATGCATACATAATCCATTTAATATGAGATATATATATCACTTGTATTTTACTATTTGTGTATCGATACCACAGCAAATGAACAGTTTTATGTATGTACAATATCTAAATGTATAACTGTATACTAAATATGCAGAGATATTCGAATAAATATTAGTTTATATTACAACTATTTGTTTGTATTTAATTTGTAATTTAGTATGAACTTATTCATTACGCTCTTTGGTGGTGGTTACTTTTTGGGAAATAATAACAAGGTCTTATTTACTTTAATATGGAATTTAATGAGATAAATTTAGGGATCTTTAAATTGTTAAAGATATAAATGTCACAAAAGCCCTGAGAAGGATGCTGGAGGGGAAACCCAGTGTACGAAACATGAACGTTTGAGATTCAAAACCGGTTAGATGTATCTGAATGTTTCTTTATAATAGCTCGAAAACAAATCATTTTGCGAGACTTTATTGATATCTTTAGGCAATTTGAATTAATTATTGTTAAAAATTATAACGAACTCAAAAATGAGTGAACTGCGTATCGGGCGTTCTTTTTTGAGTTTGTTTTCGAATATTTAGCGAAACTTTATAAAACACTTGCATATATATATATATATATATATATATCGTTTATAACATATACAAACATTTTGAAATAGTTTCTTTAACTGGTAAGAAACAGGACAGGGCAAAGTACATATCCCTCGACACCTAGCAGAACTGCAACTGAAACTTAATGATTTAATTCTTTTTTTTCCACTTTTTAATTCTGCAAGCAAAATGTGTACGCATTTTAATGAATGAGTAATCAGTAAATACAAATCCAAAGTGACCCCAAGTGCACTGAAGCTATTCAATCCCAGGTTATTCCCCGTAAGAAAAGCACCCGCCAAGCTTGCGTGTGTGATATTTGTATTTTTACGTTTTTATATGAAATTTATTATATTTGAATAATTTTTTTTTTTCGTTTTTTGTTAATGCATTGATCTGGCAAACTTAGGCCTTCCAGTTGGACCAGGTGCGGATCTCGTTCCAGATGTTGGTTCCAGGGCACTCGGTGGAGCCGACCTGGCGATGACCGTACAGGATGTAGCCTGACACGATCTGACCGCGGGACACGGCATCGGAGAGCAGACCCTTGGCGGCGGTGATCTGGGCGGAGGTGATCTTGTCGCTGTTGTAGTTACCCAGGAAGGAGATGCCAATGGACTTGGAGTTCCAGTTGGTGGCATGGGCACCCAACACGTTCCAGCCGCGACCCTCGTATACATTGCCATCACCGCCGATGAGGAAGTTGTAGCCGATATCAGCCCAGCCCAGGGAGTCCATGTGGTAGGCCTGGATGTTCTTCAGCTGGGTGATGCAAGCAGCCTTGGTGGAGCAGTAGTTGCCGGCGGTGTGGTGGATCACGGCATAGCTCAACTTGCTGGCCAGCGTGGACTTGCTTTTGGCGGCACGGCCGCCCCACTCCGACTTGGAGATGACGGTGACGCCGAGGACGGCCTGGGCGCAGAAGAGGACGGCCAGAAGGACGAGAGCTTTGTTTGCCATGGCTGCGGATCGATTGTATGCCCTGTAGAGGGATCGGACCCTTATATAGTCGCAAACTCGGCTTATCGCCGCCTGACAGCCGATGTGAAGTTCGGGGACGATCCGGGCGTGTGCTTCCATCTGATACGGCGGGGACTATCTGGTGGCCAGATCCCGATACGGCGATGACGACGGGCCAATCACACTTCTAATCAGGCCAAGTGGCATTAATTAATTTGTCTAAAATGCCCGCCCCTCAGGAGGGGCAATCTACGTGTATATTCGTCTATAAAGTATATATAGACCCAACAAAGACCTATCAAAATATTGTGAATATATCTGTCGGGGGCCAGAATTTCCAATATTTCTTTGAGTAGCTTTATTATTATTATTATTCTTATCCGGAAGCCATTCTTAAGGTTTCGCTATCGGGCTTTTATGGCATATAAAACAAGATGAATTTCTTGTACTTAAGGTTTAAAAGTTCCCATACTTTTTCTTACCACCTTGCAATAGTATCTGTTATAAAGGATATTGAATTTAAGCTTTAATTATAGTAAACAAATTTATGGAAAGTTAATATGTCTTTAGTTTAAGTTCTTGGCAGACTGCTGAGATTTATAAATGAAAATAGTAATATTAAGTTGTAATTAGTGATAGCGCTTTTTCTCTGATGATTTCTTTCTCTTATCTTTAATAATTCTTATTTAATATCTTTTGATATTAATATCAAGAGCCCATAAAGGTTTTTGGGGAATTTATTAAGGTAATAGGAATTCAGCTTTTATGGCACAACTGATTATGACAATATTTGGAGACTATTTACCATCTATTATAAATCAGGAGCTTTCAATCAGCGGATAAAATTGCCATAAATCCCAAATGGTATAAATAAACTTACAAATATCCTGTCCTATAAACAGTTCTGAGCTTTCAAGGCTGCTAGAAACTTATTATATTTTTTATCTGAAAATTAATGTAGTCCCCAAAGGCCTAATTGCTAATTTTCCTGACTGCTCTGTTGTGAATTCCAAATTGAACTTTCAATGCCTGCCTGAATTTTTTAACACATTTTTCAATTAATTTGTAATGTGATAGTATAATAAAAATATAAATAACATTGCCCCACTGTGACTCTTATGCCATAGAGCATCATCATACGACTTGTGTGTTATTTCGCATATAAATTTTGTTCAGCCATTTTTTAAATTTGTTGTTATCATCATTGATAATGATGGCTTTTCGCTAAATAATTTATGAGCATTTTTAAAAAATCAAGTGTAATAAGTGGCTGATACGAATCATTGAGGCACACACCAAAATACTATCAAAATATTGGCAATCAGAGGCGTAGAATGTTGAGTTAAAAATGGTGATTAGATTAGTGATCTCTGCTATATATTTTCAAATAGGATCCACAAGATAACTGACCCATGATTGGACCTTCTTTTTTGTGCAATGACGTAGTATATGGTAGATTGAAGAAACTGAATGAAATGGCGAAACTGAATAGAAAACAGAATGTAAACTGATTAGAGAGTACATATAAAATACCAAATAATTTATGGGCATATTCCTTATTTTTTATAGACCAATATAAATTAGTTTCATTATCTCGTCAAACTCCTTCAAAAACAGTCTCTAAAAGTATGCTATACCAAAATGTACAACTTCTGAGCAACAAAAATTAGAGTAATGGTTCTAGGAAGGACAGACTTTAAGGAAAGAAAGAAACCTGATATTTCATTCATATTTTAGACATCATTTAATTGATTATAACACACTTTAAGCAGATTATTTTTCTTATCAAAGTGCGTATGTCCCCTTTATCTGCTCGCAACTGCAGGTGGCTCTTGTAAATTTCCGTTTGAACTAATCTGAGTTCATCAAACCTTCACTTAGCTGGTGGTCAAAAAAATGAAAATTCCACAGCTTGTAGTAATCCAAAAGTTGGCAGGAAGCAGGCGAGAAGTGGGTGGGTCAAACCACTTTGTCAAGCCAGTTTGCCAAGCCATCCGAGTGCCTTCCGAGTGGCTTCTCCTTCAGGCCGCGCCAAGGGGGAGAAGATGAATCTCAAAAACTGAAAGCTTGAGCAAGTTATTAAGCGCGGAAACAAAAACAACTGCGACCCATTCAGACTTGGCTTTGTTAACGAGGATGTCGTTAATGAGACTGTGGTTCAAGTAGCAAATAGTTCTCCCTGGTAAGCGGTCACCAATTGTAAAGTTCCCTTCGGCTTTTAGTCCTTTTCGGTGCAAGTTTGAAATTGTTCTTACAGAGTTTTTTTTTGGATCGTCTTGTCCCTCAAAAGAAATAACTAAAATGTGTCAGGCTTGGCCCGAATGTCCGGACGACATAATGATATTCTGCAAGTTTGGCACACATCCTGCTCATCCTGCGCCAGCTCCTGCCCTTCTCCTTTGGATTTAAAAAGTTTTTGAGAAAATTGAACGAATGAATACTTTGACAGCACGAACGTGACGGTTCGGCTGCAAAACGAAGATGGTTAATGGAGCCAGGAGTCTAGCCGTATCCCAATTACCCAGCCAGTAGCCGGGAGCCCCACCCCATCAATCTCCGCCAGATCACCCAAGATGTAACCAAGTTGGAGTAGAATTTTCAATACAAATTTAATAACAATGTTGTCTAACCAGACCAGTGGGACCATCCGCGGATCTCGTTCCAGATGTGGGTACCGGGGCACTCGGTGGCACTGACCTGACGATGGCCGTACAGGATGTAGCCGGAGCTGAGCTGGCCACGGTTGACGGCATCCTGGAGCAGCTGCTGGGCGGCAGAGATCATGTTCGGCTCCAGAGTGTCCCAGTTGTAGTTGCCCAGGAAGCTAATGCCGATGCTGTAGGGGTTCCACTCGGCGGCATGGGCACCCATGTTGTTCCAGCCTCGGCCCTCGTACACATTGCCATCTCCGCCGATGAGGAAGTTGTAGCCGATGTCGGGCCAGCCCAGGGAGTCCATGTGGTAGCTCTGGACGCTCTGGAGGACGGCGTTGCACTGGGCACGGGTCTCGCAGTAGGCGCCGGCGGTGTGGTGAATGATGGCGTAGCTGAGGTAGTTGCCCAGGCCAACGGTCCACTTGGCACCGCGACCGCCCCACTCCGCTTTGGGGACGACGTAGACACCCTGGGCCATGTACTGGCTGCAAGCCAGGACGGCGAGGAGGAGAGCCACTTTGGAAACCATGATTACCAGCTGTAATAGTTGACGATCGCTTGATGGAGATTGAGGTGCCATGGGGCGCTTATATAGGAGACGGCGATCCAAAGTCGCAGCTTATCTTGGCGTCTACCACTGATTTACAGCGCTACTTGGCGGCACTTACTCTGATTCGCTTTTGGGGGAAGCACCTCAGAGAGAGCCTCGTCACAATCTGATGATTTTGATTTATTCGCTTGGCCATTTCAGTACGTCCTTATCGGTTCAAATAGGTGATTTGAGCATAGTTTTCTAACCACAAATGTTGTTCTTGATCACTGAATCAATTCAGGTAGAAAGACTTAGCAACCCATAATTTACATAGTTTCGGCTCTATATAATATATATGTATATACATATTCCTGATCCTGATCAGCAGCCGGATTGATTTAATTTGCACTTCAGGAAACACTGGCCTGGCAGCAACACAAAGTTATTTAAAGACGCCTATTTTTGTTAAATATTTTACTTAAAAATAAAGTGACTACAACACAAATTTGTCCAACTTTTAATTAGCCTACGCAAATCATCCGTTCTTCAAAAAAGAAGTTCAATTTTATCCTTGAGTTTGGTAAATAATAATAAAAAATCAAATTTATAATAAATTTATATAAATATTAATGGACATATTCTGCAATTTTAAGTACAATCAATTGATAAACATGGGAGTTTTGAGACAATTAAATTTTAATATCTCTATATCCATCTCACTCGGTCTAATAAGTAGTAGAGACACGAACCATGGCTTAATTAAGTTGTGGAATATTTGAATATTAAGTTCGATTGCTTGAGCTCTCCTAATTGTTAAAAAAAAATCCTTTTATACACCCCAGTAGCATTTCCTTTTGCTGTCACGTTAATTTTGAAAACATCTTATGCTATATTGACTATAGATAAATTTTACCCTTTCGTGGAGTAAGCAAACGTACAATTATATTTTCATCATGGATATCGTTGGTATGTAGTCTCTATTACATTTTAATTGAATTTCCGTCTGAAGCCAAAGACTTTCCAGAAGTTAAAGATGTGCAGGAGGAGTTTTATCAATTTATGGCCAACGTAAGTGTATTTGATCATTGTGTATTATAGCTATGTATTTAAGTGAGGCATCCAGATGACCTGCTTGTCCGTGATGAATCTCGACTATCCCGGTCGCTGTTTAATGGTACGAAAACTTAAGGATTGCGATAGATATACAAATATTATCAATTATTTCGAGTTGATGTATTGTGTTCTCAAAGTTAGCAACCTGTATGTGGAGATAGCCGTGATCTGCTTTTTTATTTTGATCTACATTCTAATGTTCTGTATCGTTTTTGTGTGCATCAACGAATAGTGAGTTGGTGAGCGTAAACCTTACCTTACATATACTAATGTTATATAAACTTCCAAAGCTATTTGCCAGCACTGAAAATCGCAGCCATAAGGTTTAGGATGAACGAGTACTTGGCCGGTGTAATTCTGGTGGGCGTGGCCAACTCCACTCCCGATTTTATGCTCAATTTATCAGCGGTACGGAGTGGATCTCCCACCATGAATATAGCTATGGCAAATGCCCTGACATCTATATGTGTGATGGGTGGAACAATCTGCGTTATAATGCCATTCAAAATAAATGGTGCCTGCGTTTTTCGCGATTTGGTTTTTATAATACTCATTGTACAGCTGATCCGTGTCTTAATGGAGTCAACTACACTACCGGATTGGGTAAAGGGTTTAAGTGAGTAGAAAAGAACGGCTAAGTACAAAGATCTAAACTTATATCCTTATTTAGTTGTATTTCTTATATACCCCATATACCTGGCTGTAAATATAATTGATTTAGTGCTTATGCGTTACAATATAAGAAGTAAGTGTTTGGAAATATAATAAGTAATCATAGTTTAATGTTTTTTGTTTCCTCTTGAACTCCGACGCGAAATAAACCTTCTGAGATACGAGCCGAGCTCCCCGCACGTGGAAAAAAAGCTGTATAACAAGGTCCTTGCATTAACCGATCTTGAGGTGGACGGTGACTTCCAGATACTGCGTTTGAAAACTCACTATGGTATTTTCCGCGGCGGTGTCTATGTCACACCAAAGCCAATGGTTGAACCAAAGAAGGTGGATGTGGAGAGCAACAGAACGGTCTTGCACAGCGAAAATAACCCAAAGAACCGTTTTCTCTTTGCCGAGTTTTTCCTGGTCCTGAATCCTATTGATCCAGAGCAATGGTTGTTGAGTGGCAAACTTGGGCGGCTTAAAATGATATGCATGGCACCAGTGTTGTTTGCACTTCGACTGACGATCCCAATGGTAAACTATACGCTGATTAAGCATGGCTGGAGCAAGTTACTCAATTGCCTGCAGATCGTTATAAATCCATGTATAGTCTTTCTGCTTTTGGAAAGTGTGTTCAATACCTCTCATCTTCACGGTTGGGTGATTCATTTTTCTTATGATTTAGCCTTGTGGTCCCTTCTGGTAACAGTGCCGCTGTCACTTCTTATCTTTATGATCACTCGCACTGACATTCCGCCGCACTACCATAAAGTAAGATGAACATCAAGCTTCCAATGTCGATTCCTGTTCTAATTCCATTGCTACTTCCGCTTCCGCCTTCTAGTTATTTGTCTTTCCCATCGTTATCACCGTGGTCACTTTTGTCTGGATTTGTTCCTGGGAAATGGAGGTGATCGTCACAATCATTTGCAGCGTGTTAAATCAATCCGGCAACTACATGACAGTCACCTTCACTTCGTTCTCTCGTGCAGTGCCGGATATGATCGCCTATATCCATCTCACCATGCATGGGTACGGAAAGATGGCCTTCGGCGGCATCATTGGTGGCATAGTGTTTGGTAAGACCTTGAATTTTCATTTATATTTATATATTTTGGAATACCCAATTCTGTGGCAGATATGGTAAGCAACGTTGGGGCACACTTTGCAAAAAATAAAGCAGAGCATTCGCACATGCTCGGAGACTATGGCGAGACCCTCTACATATTCTTGATGTTGACAATATGCTCCACGATATTCTGGAGCTTCGTCTTAGACTTTAACGTCCGACGATCTGGTGGTATCTTTTTGTGGTGTTTGTACGGAATGTTCTTCATTTACGTAACTCTCATGGAGATCGAAGTGATCCACGACTTTACCGCTGATCCGGTTATCGAAGTGATCGACTAAGGCACGATCCCGACTTCACATACCCTTTTTGGGTCAATAAAATTTTGCACGCTGTTGTATTACTTATTTTTGTTCGTGTGTGTTTATTGAGGAGGATTAGAGATCTGACCGGACCAGTGGGACCAGCCGCGGACCTCGTTCCAGAGGGGGTACCGAGGCACTCTGTGGCGTAAAGTCGCAGCTTATCATGGCGTCTCCCACTGATTTACAGCGCTACTTGGCGGCACTTACTCTGATTCGCTGTGGGGGGAAGCACCTCAGAGAGCTTCGTCACAATCTGATGAATTCTCTGTAAAATAACTTAAAAGTATAAAATATCCGTAGAATACATACATAACATAGCTATTTAAGCGTTCCATATGTCAAAAAGCACGCTAAAGGTAAGATTGAACCGTTAAAATTACATTTCAGAGAAGGTGCGCAAAAGTTGTAAATTAATATCACATAACAAGGACGGATAACTCTGCAACATAGAAAAAGTTTAGAAGTGCACTTACTTTGTACCTCTATTTAAAAATTAGAATACACTAGGTATTTTTCGGTTTTAATAGGGTTAAAAGTAACAAAAGATTATTGGGGCAATACAGTTACTTTCTACAATCTACGATCACAAAACCATATTACAAACCCCAGGAATTGGACTGGCTTTTAAAAGCTATTGTAAGTGTTGTAATTAATTGTTTATTTACTTGTCACTTTAAAATTGCAAAATTTTTCAACGATTAACCGTCAATCAGGGAAACGCAGCAGCAACGCAGCCGCGACAGCTGAATTAACAGCTGTTTACTTAACATTGGCGGGGCCTCTGTTTAAATTAAATATACAAATTATTTAAATACACTTTTGTTTTTTTTTAATTTTAATTTAATATCGCTGAGATGTTTCATCAAATGGTCATTCAGCAGAGCGACATGCATTTCCAAAGACTTCTGTGGCTGCGGAAGGACAATATAACTTCAAGCATATTCGTCAAAATTACATATGGTATTTGATGCGCGCCATTCATTGTAAAGGAGTCTATGGATCAGTGTCACCGAGCTTTAGAGTCCATCACAAAGGCTTATTATTACACCTCATAGGATCAATGGATCCAGTACCTGTCGCCCGACTAACTTGTTTTCAAAGACCCTGTACATATATCTTGGACGTTGATGCACTAAGTTCAGTACATTCAAGTGGCCCGTATGACACCAGGCACGTGCCTGTTAGGGTTAGGTGTTAGTAGGCGCGATGGAAAATATAGGACAGAATACGAGGAAAATTGAACTACCGGCGTGCTGCCAGATTGTTAGCTTGCATGCTTACTAAGTGTGTTAGTATTAAAGATTTTAATTTAGGAAGGGTATCTACGTTAGAGATTAGTGTGTACAAATCATTATAATTTGCACATAGCACTCTAAAAGGTTCATGCAGTTCAAAGGAGGTCCTACAGTGGCGCAACACTAATGGGATATAGGATCTAGTAGTTCTACATGGTACATGGAAATTAAGCTGACTCAACAAGTCAGCACTTTCCACATCACCATGTATAAGGTTAAAAATAAAGGTTATCCCTAGCATCGTTCTACGATTGGCTAAGGACGGCAAGTTTATTAATAGGAGTCTGCTAGAGTAGGAAGGTAATCTTTGGTTTGCATCCCAATTTAAACCGCGTAGAGCGAAAAGTAAAAAGTTCTTTTGAACCGACTCAATGCGTTTACTATGGACGCCGTACTGAGGGCTCCAAACGCAGCATCCATATTCTAGGATAGGACGAACTAAGGAAGTATATAAGGATTTAGTAACATAGGGGTCATTGAATTCCTTCGACCACCGTTTAATAAATCCAAGCACACCCCTGGCTCTATTCACCATAGACGAAATATGATCAATAAAGTCAAGTTTTGGGTCCAAGCGGACGCCCAAATCGTCAACAGAATTAATTCTTTCCAAAGAGCAGCAGTTCAGCGTGTAAGTAGCAAGCTTAGGAACGACACGTGAGAATGTCATTAGCTTGCATTTCGAGTCATTTAAGTTTAATAAGTTTACACGGCACCAAGTTTGAAAATTATTAAGATCTGTTTGTAAATCCGACTGGCAGGCAACGTCATTGTATTGCACGCAAAGCTTGACGTCATCCGCGTACATAAGTACTCTGGAGTTAGTCAAGACTTTGGGCAGGTCATTTATAAATAATGTAAACAATAAGGGTCCCAAATGGCTTCCTTGCGGGACGCCAGATGTAACCCTTAGAACATTGGATAAATTATTCTTAAAGAGGACCTTTTGCGTCCTGCCATTCAAATAACTTGAGATCCAATTAAGAAGATCACTTGGAAAACCCATTGAATCGAGTTTTCTAACGAGGAGAGAATGGTTAACAGAGTCGAAAGCTTTACTGAAATCAGTATAGATTACATCTGTCTGACAATTATTATGGAAGCCCTTTATAATATAGGAAGAGAGCTCCAAAAGATTTGTTGTTGTTGATCTTCGCTTAATAAAACCATGTTGACATGGAGAAATAACCGATCTACAAAGGTGCTGTAAATGAGGGGTGATAATATTTTCAAATAATTTTGGGATGGCCGACAACTTAGAGATTCCTCTATAATTGCTGGCATCCAATTTGCTACCTTTTTTGTGGAGAGGAATAATAAACGATTCCTTCCAAATAATGGGAAAGTGGGAGGTTTCTAAGGACAAGGTAAACAATTTCAGAAGGGGATAGCACAGGGCGTCGGCGCAATACCTGAGCACACAGCCAGGAATTCCGTCGGGACCTGGCGAATAAACTGGCTTGACACGATGAAGATCTAAAAGGAGAGAGCTTTCGTTTAGGCTGGGACAGAAAATTAAGTTTGATTTGGGTATGTCGTAGGAATAGGTCTGGTATAGATACGAAGAGCTAGAATAGGTTGTTTGAAAAAACTGCGAAAATAGATCGGCTATTGCCTGATCATTATTTGCGGTAGTATTTTCAAATGAAAGCGAGGAAGGATTTGTTTTAGGTTTACGTTTAGTGTTAACGAAATTATAAAACTGTTTTGGGTCCTGTGAGAACTGGGCCCTACAACGAGTTAAATAGTTTTTATAACACTGCGCGTTCAGCACGGTAAAGTTTGACCGAGCTGATAAATAAAATGAAAGGGCAGATTGAGAACCGGTGATTTTGAATTTAGCATACAGTCTAGATTTTTATTTTTAAGTCGGCTCAACTCTTTAGTAAACCACGGCGGTTTATTCGAGCTTGGCGGATAATGTAACGGAACACATTCAGTAAAAATGAATTCATGGCGCTGTAAAAAATATCCACGGCAACTGCCATGTCAGTGCACATGTATAGATCGGACCAATTGAAATCGTTTATAAAATTATTCAGCCGTTCAAAGTCCGTTTTGCGAAAACATAGGACTTTATTGGCTGGACGATCAGAAATATTCTGTACGTCACACCCAATATCAAGAGTCACATCGAAAGTTGGATGATAAGGATCTTCGGGCTGCGTCAGAGGCGCCACCCTTGCTAAACTGACTCTCGCAGGATCAGAGACGAAGCAAAGATCGAGCAAGCGCTGTAAGGAATTTCGAACATGGTTGACTTGAGACAGCGAAATGTCAAACAAGCCAGCGATAAAGTCATGTTGTGTAGGTGTATGGAGAGTATTGGTGGAATTATTTGAGCACCAAATAGCACCAGGGATATTAAAATCTCCTAGAACTACCAACTGGTCTCTATCCAAAAGTCTACTGGAAACCATCTGAATAGCGGAAAGGTGATTCCAATAAATAGGAAGTTCCGACAGTGGAGGTATGTAGGAACAGGTAATAAAAATGGAGCTACCTTTGATAGATAGCTTCACACAGAGGAATTCAACATCGTTACATTCCTCGAAGGTTAATAATTCTGACGTGAGTGAGGAGTCCACCGCTATTAGAACTCCACCCCCGCGTCTGACAGGGCGATCTAGCCGATATACCGTGAACACAGCTGGAAAAACTTCGGAGCTCAGAATCTCCGGCTTTAACCAGGTTTCTGTGAGCACAATAACCTGAGATACAAACGAAAGGCTATCAGAATACAAGTTAGGAAGCTTACTACGTAAGCCTCTCATCTCCCTTTCTAAAAAAAAAAAAAAAAAAAAAAAAAAAAAAAAAAAAAAAAAAAAAAAAAAAAACATTGAGTAGTAACGTATAGAACTAGCCTATAAACTCAATATAAGCTCATTCATAATGTGTTTGCGGACTCTAGAAGAAACTTTCTTCGACAAATGGAACACACCTCAAGGAAAGGTAGAAAGTAGAGAAGGAAGAACTAAAGAAGATCGATTCTGACGAAATCCACTTTATAGGGATTTTATAAAGCGATTGTGAGGCACTTCAACTTCATATGGAAGAGACTCGTTAGATCAGTCGAGACCGTTTTAAAGTCAATGATAAACCGAACCGAACCAGCGGAAATGATCATAAATATCACATAACTACAGCAGCAAAAGAAGTTTTCTTTTATCGATTATTGGAAAATATTTAAGTTTAAAACAAGAAAGGAAGCTAACTTCGGCACGCCGAAGTTTGTATACCCTTGCAGATAGAACTTCGATGACTGAAATCAATACAATATAAATTTTGTAAACATATGTTAAAAAACAACGCAGTTATGCCTGCTTTCATTTCATTTACCTATTCATGTTTTGAACAAAATAGTAGTCCGATTTTCATAAAACTTAACACAAAATTGTAGAGTAATATAAAAGGGCTATATCTTATCAAATCGTTTGGATGGATCAATGGGTGCATGTCTTGCAACTTCCCGTTTACTTCTTCTTCAGGAAGGGGCTGACGATGGCTGGAGCAGCATAGGTGGAAATGGGAGCAGTGTAGGTGGTCACGGGAGCGGTATAGGCCGGAGCGCTGTACACCGGAGCGGTGTAGGCGGGAGCAGCAGCGGCATAGGTGGAGTAAGCAGGAGCGGCGGCAGCATAGGTGGTCACGGGAGCGGTGTAGGCCACAGGAGCAGCGGCGGCATAGGTGGCGGCATAAGGAGCAGCGGCATAGGTGGTCACCGGAGAGGCGATGAAGCCAGCCTGGGCGGCGGCAATGCAGAGAGCCAAGCAGATGAGGAACTTCATGTTGATTTGGTTGGTTTGGGTTTGTTGGTTTGCCAGCAACTGATGCTGTTAACCACTTTACTTTGCCATTTTATAGGCCAATTGTCGCCACTTTGGCCAAAACGGGTTTCCGGCTTAGGCAGCACAAAATTAAAAAAAACTTAATAAGAACACAATTGCGTTCGCAGCGCAAGATTTCTGCCAGGCGTGTCAAATGGATTACTCTTTTCCAGCATTCACGGCGAGAGATCTGATGGCGACAACTCTCCGATGGGATTTCCACTTCGGCTGCTCCGCTTTGTCTTTGGTCACATGGTAATATTATTCTATGGATTTTTAAAGTATTCTGTGCGGTTAGCAGGAATGTCTACGGAATATCTTCCGCAGAGATCAGAATCTTTTCACATCTACTGAGCTTGGCGGCTTCTTGCGCCTTACATCGATCTCGTACAGCGCCAGTCCCAGTTGATGGATGCCTCCGTGGAAAGATGCGGATAGAAGACGTTCAGAAACTCAAAGTTCAGGTAGCTGCTGGCATTGGAGTGAGCTAGAGCCTCATGGAGATCGGCAGGCGACTTGGTCCGGACTGTTTTACCTCGCAGTTGCCACTGATTAGCTTCACCTTTTGCATCAGGGAATCCAGGGCGAGGCCGCCGTAAAGTCCCTCTGGCGGCGATAGCGCTGATGCATTTGCCTATTAAAGTGCAGCACCCGGGAGCTGGGAATGTTGAGCAGGTGCAGCGGCAGGCTGAGGATGTGCGAGGTCATCAGGTGGACGTGAGTGGCCGCCGGCTTGGTGGCCATCACATGCGACATGTCTGCTGTCAGGGGATAAACCCCAGCCTGATGGATGAAACCGAAGAAGAGGGTGAGCGCCACATTGCTCACATACCAGATCTTCAGGAGATACGGCCCGGAAGCCTTGCTCGAGAGCCATCTGTCGTAGAACCAATGCAACAGCGGGTGTTCCTTCTGGAAGGGACACTTGGCACTAAATCCGGTATTCAGCTTGGGAGCGTGTAGCAGCAGGAATCGCGGCTCCTGATGGTTGATTAGTGATAGAAAGAATAGCGGCACGAAGATGGCTCCCGACATGAGCGACACAATACTTTGGAAGCGCGGCAGCACTTGGTACTCCGCCCGGAAGAAGCGTAGCGGCAGCTGAGCAAAGGCACCCAGCGAAGACACGGCCAGGACATTGAAAAGCATCGGCATGTTGACCATCAGATGAACGTAACAGGATGCACACCATGGCTGGCCGTTTGCGCAGAGTCCAGGTTCGCTTTGATGAAGTTCCAGGGCGTAAAGACAAAGCTATCGATGTTCAGGTGCACCATGTGCAGCTCGCCCACGGTTAGGTCAAAGACTATACAATTTACTCTATACACTCTTTGGTTAGGTGCTGGTAGTACAGCGAAACGCAGAAGATGAACACCACAAGAACAGGCAGAGCACACAAACAAAAGGGAATTATGCGTGTATCTATAGGTTTAAGTCCCGAAAGGTGAGAGTCCGCGTGCCCATCCCACGCAGCAACCAAAAGAAGACCATGGGTGCTCCAAAAAGCAGGAAGGTGGGCCGATTGTATACCCCGGCTACACAAATCGTGAACATGGCCAGCAGGTGCTGCAGATTATGCTGCGGCAGGGCGTTCTTTAGCTTCCAAATGCGCCTTGTCGTACTTAAATTTGATTAAAATCTGTTGAAAACTGAAAGTGGTATATATATATTTTTTTTTAATTTTCCGATCATTCCTATGGCAGCTATATGATATAGTCGTCCGATCCGGTCCGTTCCGACATATATACGAGTGAGAGTATATAGAAGACTAACTACAAAGTATCGTTTAGATAGCTTCAAAACTGAGAGACTAGTTTGCGTAGAAACGGACAGACGGACATATGGACAGACGGACATGGCTAGATCGACTCGGCTGTTGATGCTGATCAAGAATAATACCCTGCAAGGGTAGAATTAAGTGACTGCAACACAAATTCGTCGAAATATTTGTACCTCAATAAAGAAGTTAAATTTTATCCTTGAGTTTGGTAAATAATAATAAAACATCAGATGTATAATAAATTAATATGAATATTAATGGTCATACTCTGCGATTTTGAGTGCAATCAATTGTTAACCATAACAGTTTTTAGACAATTAAATTGTAATATCTCTATTTACATCTCGCTCGGTCTAATGGGTAGTAGAGACACGGACCATGGTTTTTATAAATTTGTAGACTTTGAATATTAAATTAGATTGTAAGTAAAATGTAAGCAAATGATTGAGGACTTTAGTTTCCCTATTTGATTCAAATAAATCCCTTTACATCCCAGTGGCATTTCCAATTGCTGTCACGTTGATCTTGAAAACATCCTATACTACTATATTGACTATTGCGAAGATAAATTTTACTCTTGCGTGTAGTAAACAAAGATACATTTTTATTTTCATCATGCATCTGGTTGGTATGTAGTCTCTATTGCATTTTCACTGAATTTTAGCCTGAAACCAAAGGACTTTCCATGTCACAGACATACACGATGAGTTTACTCACTTTATGGCCAACGTGAGTATATTTGATTATTGTATATTATAACTATGTATTTAAGTGAGGCATCCAGATGACCTGCTTGTCCGTGATGAGTGTCAGATATTCATCTCGCTGTATACTGGCCAAAAAACTTAGGGACTGCGATAGATATACAAATATTATCAATTATTTTGAGTTGATGTATTGTGATTTAAAAGTTCGCAACGAGAGCAAGGAGATCGGCGTGCTCTGCTTATTTGTTTTGATCTATTTCCTGTTTTTCTGTGTCGTTTTTATTTGCATCAACGAATAGTGAGTTGGCGACCTTAAACCATGCGTTACATACATATATGTGATTTATATAAAATCCCAAAGCTATTTGCCAGCACTGAAAATCGCAGCCATAAGGTTAAAGTTGAACGAGTACTTGGCCGGCGTATTACTTGTGGGCGTGGCCAACTCCACTTCCGATTTTATGCTCAATTTTTCAGCGGTACGGAGTGGATCTCCCACCATGAATTTAGCTATGTCAAATGCCCTGACATCTATATGTGTGATGGGTGGAACAATCTACGTTATAATGCCATTCAAAATAAACAGTGCCAGTGTTTTTCGCGATTTCCTCTTTGTAATATTCCTATTACAACTGATCCGTTTCTTCATTCAGACAGATTCACCAACGTATTGGGTGAAGGGTTTAAGTGAGTAAAAAAGAGCGGTTAACTACAAAGATCTAAACTTATATCCTTATTAGTTATATTGCTCATATACCCCATATACCTGGCTGTAAATATAATTGACTTTCTCCTTATGCGTTACAATATAAGAAGTAAGTGTTTGGAAATATAATAAGTAGACGTAGTTTAATGTTTTTTTCTGTTTCCTGTTGAACTGCGACGCGAAATTGAGATTCTGAGATACAAGCGGAGCTCCCCGATGCTGGACAAAAAGCTGTATGACAAGGTAACTACATTAAAAGATCTCGAGGTGGACGATGACTTCAAGATACTGCGTATGAAGACTCGGTATGGTATTTTTCGCGCCGGTGTCTTTGTCACACCGAAGCCATTGGTAGAGCCAAGGAAGGTGGATGTGGAGAGCAACAGAGTGCTCTTCCACAACAAAAATAATCCAAAGAATCGTTTTCTGTTCACCGAGTTCATCCAGGACCTAAATCCCATTGATCCTGAGCATTGGATGTTTAGCGGCAAATACGGGCGGGCTGCACTGATTTGCGTTTCGCCAGCTATGTTCTTGCTTAGACTGGCGATACCAATGGTAAACTATGAGCAGATAAAGCATGGCTGGAGCAAGTTACTCAATTGCATTCAGATCATTACAAATCCATTTCTAGTCGCTATACTTTTAGAAACTGCGTACTTTACCACTCATAATAACAGTTGGTTGATTAATATTTACTTTGATAAAGCCTTGTGGTCCCTTGCGGTAACAGTGCCGCTGTCGCTTATTGTCTTTGTCGACACTCGCACTGACATTCCGCCGCCCTACCATAAAGTAAGATGAACATCATGCTTCCAATTTCGAATCCTGTTCCTTATCCATATCCACTTCCGCTCTCACCTTCTAGTTATTTTCCATTTTCACTATTGTCACCGTGGTCACTCTTATCTGGATTTGCTCCTGGGAAATGGAGGTGATCATCTCAATCATCGGCTCCGTGTTCAATCAATCGTCGAACTACATGACAGTCACCTTCAATGCGTTCTCTAATGCAGTGCCGGACATGATCGCCTATATCCAACTCTCCAAGAATGGGTACGGAAAAATGGCCTTCGGCGGCATCGTTGGCGGCATAGTATTCGGTAAGGCCCTGATTTTCCATTTCCAATTTTGGATTAACCAATTGTGTGACCTCCCACAGATATAACAATCAACCTTGGCGCACAGTTTGCACGTAGTAATTCTGAGTCTAGGCACTTGCTCGGGGACTTTGGCGAGACCATCTACATATTCTTGCTTTTAACTGTCTTCTCCACTTCATGGATGTGTTTAGTCTTAGACTTTAACGCCCGACGATCCGGTGGTATCTTTTTGTGGTGTTTGTACGTAATGTTCTTCATTTACGTAACTCTCATCGAGGCGAACGTGATCCACGACTTTACCGCTGATACGGTTATCGAAGTGAAAGACTAAGGCACGACCCCGACTTCACATACCCTTTGTTGGGTCAATAAATTTTTGCACCCCGTTGTATTATTCATTTCTGTTCGTGTGTGTTTATTGAGGAAGAATTGGGAATTTAACCAGACCAGTGGGACCATCCCCGGATCTCGTTCCAGATGTGGGTACCGGGGCACTCGGTGGCACTGACCTGACGATGGCCGTACAGGATGTAGCCGGAGCTGAGCTGGCCACGGTTGACGGCATCCTGGAGCAGCTGCTGGGCGGCAGAGATCATGTTCGGCTCCAGAGTGTCCCAGTTGTAGTTGCCCAGGAAGCTAATGCCGATGCTGTAGGGGTTCCACTCGGCGGCATGGGCACCCATGTTGTTCCAGCCTCGGCCCTCGTACACATTGCCATCTCCGCCGATGAGGAAGTTGTAGCCGATGTCGGGCCAGCCCAGGGAGTCCATGTGGTAGCTCTGGACGCTCTGGAGGACGGCGTTGCACTGGGCACGGGTCTCGCAGTAGGCGCCGGCGGTGTGGTGAATGATGGCGTAGCTGAGGTAGTTGCCCAGGCCAACGGTCCACTTGGCACCGCGACCGCCCCACTCCGCTTTGGGGACGACGTAGACACCCTGGGCCATGTACTGGCTGCAAGCCAGGACGGCGAGGAGGAGAGCCACTTTGGAAACCATGATTACCAGCTGTAATAGTTGACGATCGCTTGATGGAGATTGAGGTGCCATGGGGCGCTTATATAGGAGACGGCGATCCAAAATAATATTACGGCTTATCAAGTCTTTTAGGCTGATTTACAGCCCCCTTCGGCGGCACTTGCTAAGATTCTTATTAGGGGAAGACCCTCCGAGCGGACTGCCTCACAATCGGCTGAAGTTGATTTATTCCGCAACTGATTAAGGTGTCGTATTATCAATGGAAGTTCTCGCCGACATAATGGCTGGCAGTGGACGCATTGGATTTTCGTGATGCTTCGATGGCGAGGAAAGAGAGGATAATTTTAGATTTACAATGGATTAGAAACTGGCTAATTGTAAAAGCTATCCTTTATCACATTCTATTCTTTAAGGTGGCCCTACAATTTCCGTCACTAAAAGACGAAATTCTTTGAAATACATTAATCTCTATAATGAGTCTGCGTAGTAGAAGATCGCAGTGGAACTTTACGGAACTGGACTTTGAATTTGAGAACTTCTTGACAAACGTGATTGCGCTGATTTATAATTGTTGTAAACTTAATCCTTCATCCTTCCTTCTGACAGATAAGCTGTGTGGCTGTGATGCGGTTGCCCTACTCTATGCGTTGCATGATGGCCAAAAGAGCCCATGACTGTAAGCGTATTATTAATTTCTTCAACTATTTCCGCATGATGTACTGCTCCATTGACATTGAAAATAAAGCCACAGAGATCCTGTTGATGTGCTTTTTCATGCTCATCTGTGTGGTGTTCCTGTGGGTGATGTCCTTCAATATTAGTACCTTGTAAGTTCCTGAATATCTTCGACTGACAGGTATTTACCTGCGCGGTTGCAGCTTTTCGCCCGTGTTGAAGATAGTCTGCCTGAAGCTGCACATGAACGAGTATCTGGCGGGCGTCACCTTCCTGGCCTTTGGCAACTCGTGTCCGGACATAATTGCCAATCTGATGCCCGTGCGAGCCGAAGCCCCGATCTTCACCATCGCGGTGGGCAATGCCCTGGCCATCATTCTCCTAAGCGGCGGCACTGTGTGCTTTCTGAGGCCCTTCAAAATGAACGGACACTGCACGGTGCGTGATCTGTTGTTCCTGCTGCTCGGCGTGGAGGTACTGCGTTATGTGATGGTTAAGAATGGCCCGGGCACTGTGACCATATGGGAGAGTATTGGTAAGATCAACTCATGACCTTACCTGCCAGTTGCAACATCTTTTATTTCCTATTTCCCAGGTCTGATCTTCGTGTATGTTGTCTACGTGACAATAAATGTCATTGATCTCGTCATTATGCGTTACTCCATGAAGAGTAAGTTGTTAAGCAAATCAAGGACCAAGGATCTATAGTAATGTCTCCCATCCAGAGCTTCGGGGGGAAATCGAGGAAATGCAAAGATTACGTACTCCATCCCAAGGGGAGTACAGGGCCAAGATGGAGAAACTGACCTTGTGGGAGCTGGATGATGAACTTCCCATTCATGATACGACCAACTACCGCCGCTCTAGGTCGTCGGGTCGTCAGTTTACCGAAGCCACTACTGCTGGTTACTTTGTCACCCCGAAGCAGAAGCATGCTCCCGTGCCCGTTGATGTCGAGAAGAATCGCAAGTATCTGTACAATTCGGAGAATCCAAAGAACCTTCTGCTCTTCCGGGAGTTCTTAGAGTCCCTTAATCCCATCGACGGAGAGGCGTGGGAGCTGGGTGGTTGCTGTCAGCGATTTTTCCTGATCATCCGAAGTCCACTGGTGTTCGTACTGCTGGTCTTCATTCCCGTGGTGGACTTTGAGAAGGACAAGCACGGCTGGAGCAAGCTGCTCAATTGCTTGCAGATTGTGTTGAATCCGTTTGTGGTCATCACCTTGGTGCATTGTAGGTATATGCGAGTCCTGGGGCAGAGCATCTAATGTCCTAAGCGGATCACCTCTAGCTGCGGTGTCCAGCAAATACCACACTTGGTACATAACACTCAATCTGAACATATCCATGTGGACGCCATGTCTGACAGTTCCGCTGGCCATTATGATATTCATTCATTCCCGGACGGATGTGCCGCCGTTCTATCACCTGGTAAGGACACGCAGCTTTAGGGTTCCTGATTGCGGTCTCATGGTATTCTTTTTTAGCTTTTCGCCTTGCTCACCTTTTTCAGTTCGATAACAACCATTTGGATAGCGGCCACTGAGTTGGAGGTGCTCTCCGAGATTGTGGGCATTGTGTTTCGTCTGTCGGAGAACTTTATGGCCGTCACCATTGGAGCTATATCGAATGCCACACCGGATATGATAGCCAACTCACAATTGACACTGCAGGGCTATGGACGGATGGCCTTTGCTGCCATCATAGGTGGTCCTGTTTTTGGTAAGAATGTGTCTTCAATATTGATTCAGGAATCATACAGAGTTTATCCTTTATTTCAGCCATTGTGGTCAGCATGAGCGTGGCCTTTATATTCAACAAGAGAGTGCGTCAGGAGGACGCCGCCTCTTGGGTGTTCGGGGAGCATGGTGAAATCTGTTATTATTTCCTGGTTATAACAATTGCCACCACTCTATGGTGGTCCATCATGTTTGATTTTCACGCCCGTCGATCCGCTGGTGTTTTCCTATGGTGCATTTTCCTGATCTTCATGCTCTTTGCCGTTTGTGTGGAATGGGAGGTCATACACGATCTCTCCGTGGACAAAATATTGGAACCAGTTTAATTACAAGATGATTTCATGAATTCTACAAACTTATAATGTTGAAATTTTACCAATTGAAAATTTATAACTATAAAGAATTTAATGCTATTTTCAAGTAGAATTCCGTAAGTTTGGTCTGTATTTTCAACCATAATCGGAGGTAGAAGCTGCCACACCCGCCAGCGCACAGACTAATTAAGTTAATGAAGTATCATAATTAAAACATTGCCAGGGGAAATGCCCTCGAAAGGCGTTGGCGAACGAGCAAAGGAACTGACAGTCGTCCATTGAAATGCAGCGGAGTCGACACTCCTGGCAAAATGTCCTGACCCGACACTCGAGCATAAAAAAGGAGCTTATTGCATAATGAAGGAAAATCTCGACCGATGTGCAACGGCGGGGAAAGTATCTCGTTAATTAGGGTTAAAGTCACAGGGGATTGGTGTCCTGAAAGAGCCGCTGATTTGTGGCACAGAAAGGTCCAAGGAATAAGATATGAATAATCACTAAGAGTTGCTCCGTCTCGTCATGAAATTAAATTATACTTTGACTATTTTATGCTAGTTTTTTCTTTTGCACTACCAAATGTAAATTTCACTTGATTCCGGCTATTATGCCAACTGCAGCTGAAACATAACCATTAGATTTAAGTACAATTGCATAAACAAGGACTGTGTGCAAGTGAAAAAAAATAAAAAGAACTAGAAGAGGGCGAAGCGGAAGCCAAGTGGCAGCTCCAACTTCAAAGGCAAATGCCACGCAGCATTCCGGCTGCAATAAAAGCACTCAGCCAACTCCCTTAGACTTCCGTCCATGTGTCCATCTACCCATCCGCCATTCGCCATCCGGCTCCATCTGTGCACTTAATGTGACATGTTTTTGCAGCAGCTTTTGGTTTCTCTCCTTTCGCCACTCGAGATTTCCCTTTAGCAGCAGGAGAGTCATGCGATTTGATGCATTTCGCTTGTTACCAAATTGTTTTGCATTTTCCTTCACGTTTTTACATAGACTTGCACTGCCGAATTGAAGGCAAAAACGAGGAAAAGGAATTCATTGGCCAGGTCTGGGTCCTGGTCCTGCTCGCTCCCTGATTTGGTGTGAAAGTCATCAAATATTTAAAGCTCAAGTGCAGAATGACATTCACCATTGGTTGGGAGTGATGTGAAATTGATTTTTAACTGGTGATATATATCAAGGACATGACATTATTGCGGAAAATGCTCTTTATTTACAGGCGTTACTTTTTGTTCTTATTCATATTGTTTATAGTTATAGGATAAGCCCCTGTTTACTGAAAGAATTAATTTACAACTCTGTTCTTATCGACTGGTACTTTTTCCATTGACTCCCCATAAATCGTGGGTAATCTATGATTTTAAATTTGGAAAATCATGGCGTTCTCCATTCTAGATGTCTTCCTGGGTATATAAAAATATATATTTTTTCTTTCTTTATTACCCCGACATCAAAAGTTTTCGCAAACTATTTATAACAAGTTTTATAACCGCTGCAGTTGAAGGAAGGAGGAACCTCATCATTTTTCTTAATAAACATAAAAATATACCACGAAAATGCCAAACATATTTCACATGCCAGCTCAGTTGCAAGTTGCAAGTTGCAGTTGCAAGTTGCAGTCTTGCAGTCTTGCAGCTAGTTATTTCCGCAGTAAAACTTTGCGCTGCGCTTCGTTGTCACTTGGCTAAATGGAAAATATTTCAGACACTGGACCAGAACCATGTTCTTACAGAATGCGACTACATATTAAACAAGTCGTCGTGGCATTGCCAGCTGATTTATGTCTGGAGAGCGTCTGGAGGCTAATGCTGCTGGCCGTAAATTGCCGCTTAGCATTATAACTCAATTAGCCGGTGGATGGGTTGCGTATACGCCGCGTTGGCCCAAGCGGAAGTCGGACAGTGCTAGAGCCAACAGTTTACATTTACAGCTGTACTGGTGAATTATGCAAGCCCTAATTAATGCCAGGGATGCACAGGGGAACTGCTCTTGTTTGCTGCCCATTGTAGTTGTGGTAGTTGTAGGACACCTTCCTGCAGGGGCCTGCATATCCGTTTTGGGCCCGGCAACGTGTCCTTGTTGTGGGCTAATGAATTGGCTGCCAGGAGCCTTGGCTTTGTGTCTGCGGTATGCTTGCAATTAGCGCTGTCTCACATTTGACTTAACCGCTTCATCAGTGCAGAGGTGTGAAGAGGAGCTGCTTCATGGCGAACAGAGCGTATACGTAATGTTACGCTATGGAAGGCAAATTTAAGGATAGTATCTTGCAAATGTCTCAAATAACATCCCAAAAGGAGGTTTAAAAACCTACTTAAGGCAGCCTCAAAACCTATCACATACCAGAAGCCGTATTACATCTATCACAATTTGTATCTAGTCAACCGTTGATTCTAAAGTCATGAAATGTTAAGTTAAACCGATTAGTTCTTCTGAAAACGTTGACACGCTCTACTAATTCGGTTCAAAAACAAAAATCATAGTATATATTTTTTTGTTCCATATATAATATGTAAGAGAGGAAGGAGTTGAACAGCCGCTTAGTTTATTAATTCGTTCGCTTGGAAAAGATGGTCAGTCCGCTGCCCGTACATTCGGTGCATATAGAAAAACTAGCTTCCCACGATCAGATGGCCTATTCTATGGTCGGCCATCCCCAGAACGCTCCACATAGTGCCGGACCAACTAATAACCAAAGCATACTCGGCCTCTTCGCCAGCCTGGGCAACCGTTTCCGTCGACTATTTTCCCACCTGGCGGTCAAGATATTTAGCTGCTTATTCTACGGCCAAGCAGGTGGTGCCTACAGGGAGGTGCCCCTCTCGCCGGAATCCCTTCAGCGGCTGCAGGTGGTGGGCCGGAAGACCCTGGTGCTGGACTTGGATGAGACCCTGGTCCACTCCTGTTACACGGATCCAGAGACGCAGGACGAAATTGGCTGCAGTCAGATACCTGCTAAGGCGGTGCCCGACTTCAGAATCAGTGTCAGCATCGATGAAGTCTCCAACATCCCCTTCCGGGTCTTCAAGCGGCCCCATGTGGATAAGTTTCTAAATTTGGTGTCCAAGTGGTATGACCTGGTCATCTATACGGCCAGCCTGGAGGTCTACGCCTCCAAGGTGGTGGATCTCCTGGATGGGGGCCGAGAGATGCTGACACGCCGCCTTTACCGCCAGCACTGTCACTCCAACACGACTCTATTCACCAAAGATTTGACCCTGGTCAATGAGGATCTGAGAGGCGTCTTCATTATCGACAACTCACCGAACGCCTACGTCTATTTCCCCCACAATGCATTGCCCATTAAGTCATTCATCTACGATCCTAATGACCGGGAACTGCTAAATCTGCTGCCATTCCTCGATGCTCTGCGGTTTACGAAGGACGTTCGGTCGGTCCTTGGACGGCGTGTCTCAGCCTAGTGTAGTGTATGTGTATAGTCGAAACCAGAATCCAAATTTAGATGGATATTTTGCGAATTTCTTTTGTTTTTGTTAAAAAATAAATTGTAAATGAAAAACCCTTACAAATTTCGCGGACATTTAGCCTTTAAACAAATCAGACGGGAGCTACCTGAGCACAGATGCATTTCATTGCTCATACGCCATGTGGGCCGTGTGTGTTTTTTGCTCTACTCCTGTTTTTGCCTCGTGTGCAAGGATAAGTTTTCGTGAAAACCAGCTAGCTGCATGCAAATGCAGGAGCGTAATGATGTTGCGGCTTTTTGACTTTGCACGGCCACAGTGAGAGCCACCTGATGCCTCCGCGCACTCTCGGAAAAGTTGCCAAAGTTTAAATTGAATTCTTAATTATGGCACACACTCTGGCTCTGCCACACACACGCACATATCCAGCAAAATGCTTAGAAAATAATACTGTGTCCCTGTGATAATTTTGCTTTGTGTTTCTATTTTCCTATATATACATATTTTTGTGGATCCAAGAGAGATTCATGCCGTCGCATTGTCTGATTTATGAGTGTGTGTGTGCGCTAGGGATACACACAAATTTTGATTTGTAGCTCCATAAAAACGCGGACAAAATTCCATGAGACAGTTTCAGTAGCTACACCGAGGCTGGGTTATTGAAATCCAGCAGATAACTTGCAACAGCAGCAGCACCAGCGACAGGCAGTGCAGTTTTGGCGGCAACGGTGCGTATGAGCAATCAGTCAACCAGTCAGTGAGTCAGTTAGCTGCCGATATCTCAATTTTTTATGCTTGGCCTAGTGTAAATTTAGCCTAGGTTCTATAAGGGCTTTAAACGGGTTACAATTTTAGAGTTACTCAGTTTTCTTTACTTCAGAGTCCTCTTGGGCTTAATTACCTTTTTCCTCTTCCGAGACTCTGCCGAGTTAATTTGCTTATTACCCGGAAAATGCGGCAATTGAAGAAAAAGTGACTCTCTAATTGGGTTTTTGCATTGCAAATGAATCTCTGCGGCTTTTTAGCTTCTGTCAAAATAAACAAACCAAAGATGGAGAGCTGTAAACTATATGTAGTCCATTGTAATTGACTGTGAGTCAGTGGAATTAGTTGATTGCTCGTTGTGGTTTTTTGAACTTAGCCCCAGGCCAATTAACAATGCAAATTGGCCAGGGGAGAGCAAAAGCAAGTAAGTGAATTTATTTCAAGCCAAGCCCAAGCCTCAAGCCCCAAGCCCCAAGTAAGCCGCTCGGCAGAGACCTCTATTTGCCATTTGAATCGGCGGCCTAAGCTGCACACATAAATCTTGCATTGAACGGTTTGTTGGGGTGATGGCTGGCTTGGGGGCGGCACTTTCACCTGCTCCGCCATAAATTTCCATTTTCCATTCCCAATGCCGCCACTCAATTTGGCTTAAACGCTCTTACGACCGAGGAAAGCCAACGGAATGAGATTTTACCAACTTTCATCTTGTCTAGAGAATAAAATTGGTTTGGTGAAAAACTTGGTTTAATTATTAATCTATATATATGTATATTCTGCAGTATACTTTTAGACATTCACAAAGCTTTTTAGGTATTTATAAACTCATAAGATGCTGTATTTTGATTTCCAAAAATGTCAATGGAACTTGCAACTTGTCAAGTTCACAATAATCAATAAAAGGTAGAACAAAAACACTCTTAAAACAATTAAAATATATTTTTGTACAGCTTTAGTTATTAAATATTATTACAAATTAAACATTTTCACTCGGTGGAAAGCCACACTCCACCATTTTCTTATCGATCCAGCTCCGTAGGTTAGCCACATTCGTATAGGCCGCCGGCACATCCTTTTCGGCGCACTCAATGCCCCAGGACACTAGCCCGGCCAGTTGATACCGATCCGTTTGACCCGGCATCGTGCAGAACAGTGGCGAACCGCCGTCACCCTTGCACGTATCCCTTCCCTCCACGCCGCCGGCACAGATGAAGCTGTCATGGAGGCGGTATCGACGTCCCAGGACCGTGCGACGCAGCAGACGCTGACAGGACTCGTGGTCCACCACAGGCAGCACTATGCGCTTCAGCAGGTGTTCCATGGTGCGAGACGTGCTGTTACTGTGCCCCCAGCCCGTGGCCAGGCAATGCGCCTGCTCCAGTTGCTCCGACACCTGCGGCGACTCCGCCGGCGGCAGGCACACCGGCTGGATGTGCGGGGCCAGCTGGAAGGGTCGCTCCAGGACCAGCAGGGCGATGTCATTGTAGAAGGTCAGCTTGTTGAAGTTCTCGTGGCGATGCATGTAGCTAATCCGACGCATCTGGTAGGGAAGTCGCTCAGTCTGGGTGTTCAGATCCCAGTCGCCAGCCCGTGCCAGCAGCGAATCCTCGGTGTAATTGGCCACATTGTGGGCAGTGGTCAGCACCAGTTGCGGGTGGATCAAAGTGCCGCCGGAAATGAAGTTGCCCTCCATGTCCATCAGGGCCATCATCCAGGGGAACTCACCGAAGACGGACTCGTTGTCGTTGTAGCCGTCCAGGGAGTAGTAGAGGCCCCGCGGATTGCTATAACCGCAGCCCTTGAACTGGAAGTCCTGGACATTGCGAAACTGGGGAGTCTTCTCTTCCTCGATCTGAAAATTAATTAATGAGTTTTTTTGCGCTTTGATTAAGAGGTTTCCTCTCACCTGGTCTTCCACCTCACAGCACTGCTCCACAGAGCGACAGCCAAAGTTACTGTCCTCATTTATGCGCGCCTTGATGATGTACCTTCCGTCCTCGTTGACCACTCCGGTCCTGCAGAGATGTCGCGGCACACACTCCTTTTGCAAGCCACAGCTTTTATAACCTTCATCCGGGGTGGCAGTAATCGTTGTCGTGATAGTTGTGGTAGTATCAATCTTGGAGAGCCAGGGGTTTCCCTGGCGCTGTTTGCGATACTCAATCTCGGCCTCCAGGGCATAGTAGCTCTCCAGCTGCTCTTTATCGCAGCACACTTGGTTGGGGCCACAGCTGAGGTCAAGGACCCGCACCCCCAGTTTCCCTCTGCCGGAATCATCGCTCACCTCGCAGATCTTCTTGTCCACGCAGCTCTGGTGGCTCTTGCAGGCTTGGATCGCATAGGCTAACGGCGGCGGAAGCGAGATCAGCGCGAGAATGGCAACCAATAGCAGCTCCACATTGGTGGCGCCTATAGTTGGGGCATGAGAATAAGCAGGCTCGTTCGTTCACTTGCAGGGCCAAACAATAAACAACACTCACCCATTGTGAGATTTCGGAATATCAAAATATATATATAAATATATATATATATAAGATCAATTGAATCGGTGCGCAATATATTCGGAGAGACGTGCCAGAGCCGCGATACGCCTTAGACTGACTCTGGCTGGGTGTTAATACGCCTTTTAGGTGCTCTTTCCTCACTGCTGTCTAGAGATTACTCAGATTAATTCTCATTACTTGTCATGATTATAATTCTCTTACTCTCCCGATCCGAGTACGGAATCTCCCAAGCCGGTTCCATAAATGCTGATGAGTTTCACTCGATTCAATCAGTTGACTTGGCGAAACCCAAGCTTACAATTATCTTGGTTTCGGTGCGCTTATAGATATAGATCTAATAGGTACACAAGCAAATAGATATATATTTATATATATATTTATAGATACTACCCATATATTTCTCTACATAAGTGTAGTGCAGCCTTTATCATATAATATAGATCGGTTTAGGCGCTCTGTCATCCGCTGTTTTCAAATCGATTTCAATGAGAAACTTCGGATTTGCATTCAATTAAGTGCAAGTGCACATTCCACAAAAGTTTCGTTTCAAGTTGTCATCAAAATAATTTTAAATATAATGAATAAATAAAAAGATTAAGTAAATATTAATTGGTCATATTTAAATTAACAAATTAAGCTTTGGTAATTATTCAAAAATTGATTGTAACAGCCTTCCTTGGTTAATTTTAAACTATGAAATATTATTTACGTTCCTTCAATACACACATAAGGGCGTATATCCTGTTTACTCCTACAACCTTGATCCAGATCCTTGCTCCACCGATTCTCGTTCTGCCATGGCAAGTACTAACAGATACAGCTGGCTGATCCCAGCTGTGATCCTGCTCCTGCTGACCCTTGACCACACATCGCTGGCCAAGCCGAATTCGCCGCCAATCCATGTGCCAGGATGACATCATCAAGGACGACGGATTCATCCTCATCACTCCCATAATCGGACAGACCAAGTGCTCCAACCCTTTGCACCGCTGCTGTCAGGTGAAAAACAAGGTAAATCGATAATCAATAATTTGTATTGTAAATAAATAATCAAGAAATTATATTAAAAATAGTTGTATTAATTTTAGGAGGATAACAACCAATCATAATCTCACGAATCGTACTGGACTACATAAAGAAATGTTTTCAATTTTCGGATTTTAATCTATTAATTTAAGTTGTATTAAAATATAATCTGGTGGTTGGATGAGTAAAATATTTTTTTAAGTTAAACCAAATATATTAAAACAATGTCAAAGGAAATTAAGTAGTATTATTGTTTTAAAAAGTTTTAATTCGAATCATCGCCAATGCTTAATAACTTCCTCACAGCTCTCACTTGGAGAAAATGTAATTTAATTTAATAGCCAACAATAAACATCACTCATCCAAGGAGAAATATCAGAATATTACAAACATTTTATTGGAAATATAAATCGAATCATAGCGATTTACAGAGACCCTCTCTCTCGCAGGTTTTATAAATAGCTTTGAGTTTTACTCAATTCAATCAGTCGACTTGGCGAAACCCTAGCTAAAACATCGTCTTTAGATCTATAAAAGTAAGTGGGTGAGTATCGTAAACCTATACAAGCGGATATATATGTGCATTATGGTGATTTCAAATTCAGTTCTCTTTATTATAATCCCGATCGTCCAAGTCCCGCTGTCGATAAATCACTTTTAATGAAAAAACTGCTTCATTCCAGCCGCAGAGATGGCGGCGCGAACTTTGACCCTACTGCTGATCCTTCTGGCTAGTGGAGTCAATGGCCAGGATGTCCCATCACCGATGTGCCGCCAGAACGAGCTCTGCACCACAGTGAAGCGCTGCGAAGAGTCGGATGACTCCGGTCGTGACGGCATTGCACCACGAGTGGCTATACGCTTCTGCGGCGTGGGCCGAATGTGTTGCGAGAAGGAGCAGCTTGACAGCTGGGATGCATTTCAGGCGGAGTCTAAATCCTCATCACTTACCACTGGCTGGATCAAAAACAAGGTGAGTCGGATACCGGGACCTGAACCCAACGAGAGCTGCGGCCTAAATATGGAGTGTGTCCCACGGAAACTATGCCGCGACAATGTCATCAACGACAATGGATTCACCCTGATAAATCCCAGGATTGGGAACACCAAGTGCTTCAGATCCCTGTACCGCTGCTGTGAGGTTAGCCAGGAGGTGGGTCGAAAAATGAATCATTTTGGAAGAGCTGCCTAGACTGATAGTTCTTGGAAACACTTTCATAGGTCGACGACAGTGAAAGTCCTTATGTGCAGAAGCAGAAGGACTTCAAGTACAGGAGCTGCGGCTGGAGCAACCCAAAGGGACTAATTCCCGACGACGACAAATTCAGCTATGCAGAGGACGTGTCCATCTTTGGCCAGTTCCCTTGGATGGTGGGGATTTTCACCGGACGCCAGAAGTTTCTTTGCGGCGGAACCCTAATCCATCCTCAGCTGGTGGTCACCAGTTCACACAACGTGGTCAACGAGACGGTGGACACCCTGGTGGCTCGTCTCGGTGAGTGGGATTTGAACAGCGTGAACGAGCCGTATATCCACCAGAGCCGGCGTATCAAGGAGATCATCATGCATCCCGAGTTCGACCCACAAGTGTTCTTCAATGACATTGCCCTCTTGCTGCTGGATGAACCCGTCCAATTAGCTCCTCACATCCAGCCTCTGTGCCTGCCTCCGCCTCAGACGCCGCAACTGATCAATCAGCTGCTGTCCGCCAACTGCTTTGCCACAGGATGGGGCTCTAAGGATGCCAAAAGTGACAAGCTGGAGCAGGTGCTCAAGCGGATCAATCTGCCGCTGGTGGAACACAAAGAGTGTCAGGCAAAACTGCGTCTCACGCGTGTGGAGAAGCGCTTCCGGCTTCGTCCTAGCTTCATCTGTGCCGGTGGCGATCCTGGCAAAGATACATGCAAGGGAGATGGTGGCTCACCGCTCTTCTGCATGATGCCTGGCGAACGGGACCGCTACCAGCTGGTGGGCATTGTATCCTGGGGCGTGGAGTGCGCCGAGGATGACATCCCGGGTGTGTACGCCAACGTGCCATACCTCCGTGGTTGGCTTGATGAGCAGATCAAGGAACTGGGCCTCACACTATAATTTCAATAAGGAAGTCTATTAAAACAATATAATAATATAATAATACGAATATTTTGAAGATGAATTTAATTTTCTTGGATCTTAAATCTAACATTTAGCTATACATACATACAATTTTTTGAAAAAAGAAACTGCATTTCCATTATTATTGCCATGTATGCTGCGTATAGACGGTTTTCCACCTTAAGTTAGGGATTTTCCCAGCACACCTGACTGCTCACCTCGTAGCTTATCTTATCCTCTCATTCATTGATTTTGAAAGAGTCTGTTTAGCGAAAGAGAGATCACAGAGAGGCTGACCATAAACATAAGCTAGAATGGGAAAAAACCAGACTCATTTTCATGAATTTCATACGCCCCGTTGGCCCATTGCGAGAATATATTCCGAGTGAGATGCTCTCTGCTCTCCAAAGTTTATTTTAGGTTTCAATTACCTTCGATCATTTATTCTTCTCTTAATCTCCCAATGGCACTGCTATCTCTCTCCGTTTGGTGATTTTTGGAATCTCCCAAGCCGGTTCTATAAATGATTTTGAGTTCCACTCGAGCCACTCAGTCTACTTGGCGAACTCTAGGCTTTAACATCATCTTGAGATCGGTGGCTTTTATATTCGTAATCTATATATGTAGGTGCTACTCGTATATACCCCTTTGTATGCGGATACATAAGTGAATTTAACTATAATACTCATACATATATTATCAATCGGAAAAGTCAGCTGTTAATAGTTCTGTATCAAAAAAAGCTTCGGTTTCTATTCATAAAAATATGTGATATTCGTAATATTTTATGCCTTTAATAACAAGTTAATCAGAATAAGTAATTCTGAATACTGATTTTTGTTAGTGTGTGTAGTTTTATACAAAACAAAATACAAAGATTTATATATATAAGCGTCATTCAAAGCTGATTCGGGCTCTTTACAAATAAAAAAAAAAGAATAATAGATACAAAGATGAAAGAGAACAATGAATGGAAATAATAATACAAATCCCTCAAGTTTTTGTGTTATAAAAGCCAAATATAAAGATGCCTATCTCAACTCTGATCAAGACTATAAACAACTCGAAGTATCATTCATTTTAATGATTTATGTTTGCTCAATAATACTTTAAGTAAATAAAAAAAAAATTGTTATTGATGGTATTTACATGTTATAAACTTAAACACCGGCTTTATTGTTTTGTCAGTGATCTGAACTACAAATATTTATTTCCATATATGTATGTATATATTTATAGAAGAAAATATAATGCAATTATTTGCTGATAACCTTTGCTGGTGCATTGAATGAGATTAGAATGCCGCTTATCTCTAACTTGGTTCCATCTGCTCTTTGCTCCGCCAGTTCCCGACCAACCATGGCAAGTGGAACAACAGCCTTCCGCTGCACACCACCAGTGCTCCTCCTGCTGATCCTCCTTGCTAGTGGAGGCAAGGCCCAGGACGTCCCTTCGTCGATGTGCCAACAGAACGAACTCTGCACCACAGTGCAGCGCTGCCAGGAGTCGGATGACTCTGGCCGCAATGGAATTAGTCCTCGGATAGCTCGTTTCTGCGGCGTGGGCCGCATGTGCTGCGAGAAGGAGCAGCTTGACAGCTGGGATGCATTTCAGGCGCAGCAAAAACCACCTCCAAGCGCCAGCAGTTCGATCAAAAACAAGCTGAGTAGGATACCGGAACCAGAACCCAACGAGAGCTGCGGCCTGAACATGGAGTGCGTGCCACGGAAGCTGTGCCGCGACAATGTCATCAACGACTCGGGCATAAGTCTCATCAATCCCAGGCTTGGCAATACCCAGTGCTCCAAGTCCTTGTATCGCTGCTGTGAGATTAGCCAGAAGGTGAGTCGAAAGTAATCTTCGTAGACTCAGAAAAATAATTCTTGGAAACACTTTCTTAGGTGGACGACAGCGAAAGTCCTTATGTGCAGAAGGAGAAGGACTTTAAGTACAGAAGCTGCGGCTGGAGCAACCCAAAGGGACTGATTCCCGACGACGATAAATTCAGCTATGCAGAGGACGTGTCCATCTTTGGCCAGTTCCCCTGGATGGTGGGGATTTTCACCGGACGCCAGAAGTTCCTTTGCGGCGGAACCCTAATCCATCCTCAGCTGGTGGTCACCAGTTCACACAACGTGGTCAACGAGACGGTGGACACCCTGGTGGCTCGTCTCGGTGAGTGGGATTTGAACAGCGTGAACGAGCCGTATATCCACCAGAGCCGGCGTATCAAGGAGATCATCATGCATCCCGAGTTCGACCCACAAGTGTTCTTCAATGACATTGCCCTCTTGCTGCTGGATGAACCCGTCCAATTAGCTCCTCACATCCAGCCTCTGTGCCTGCCTCCGCCTCAGACGCCGCAACTGATCAATCAGCTGCTGTCCGCCAACTGCTTCGCCACAGGATGGGGCTCTAAGGATGCAAAAAGTGACAAGCTGGAGCAGGTGCTCAAGCGGATAAATCTGCCGCTGGTGGAGCATAGCGAGTGTCAGGCAAAGTTGCGCCTCACACGTCTAGAGAGTCGCTTCCGGCTCCGTCCCAGCTTCATCTGTGCCGGTGGAGATCCTGGTAAGGATACGTGTAAGGGAGATGGTGGCTCTCCGCTTTTCTGCACGATGCCTGGCGAACAGGACCGCTACCAGCTGGTGGGCATCGTATCCTGGGGCGTGGAGTGCGCCGAGGAGGATATTCCGGCGGTGTACGCCAATGTACCTTACCTCCGTGGTTGGCTCGATGAGAAGATCAAGGGACTCGGCATAACGTTGTAATTACACAGGAACTGTAATAAAGAAAATATAATATAATTACCTTTTTACAATTGATAACTATCCTTAAGTTTATATCTATACACTTTCTCCCTATTATCATTAACCAGCATTATCTGCTATCGTATATAAGCTTGGTAGCAGCCATTTATCCGTGCCAGTTTCAAGTAAAGCGCCGGGATAATTCTCCCTCCATCCAGGCACTTAACTCGAACACATACCTCCAGCAGTCACTCGATTTATTGCAATTCTTGGGAACAAAGGAGGGCCAAGGCAGGAAATACGAGGAGCGAGGAAGAGCGGGCGAAGCGTCTTCGTGCCGGCAGCTTATAAATAGTCAAGTCCTGGCTGGAACTATGCAGACAACCTCCATTTGACACTCCCTTTCAGGATAGTTCGCCCTCTAAGTTTCACTTGTCAGACAGAACAGAAAATAATAAATAAATGGTATTTTAATTTGAATACATAATACTATTTAAAGAAAGGCAATAATTAATTTTCCAGCATATTTAAATTAAATTGCAAAACATAGCTTTATATGCTCCGGATATCTCTCTGTGTAATTGTATATAGAACCAAATTAACCAGGACAACAGGAACAATATAGCAAGAGGCTAGGCATGCCCCAAAATTGAGAAATTACACGCTGGGCCGGCCAAATGGCTGAGCGAATTGATTTTCCTTTTGCTTCTGCTCCTGCTCCTTGAGGCTCTGCAAGTCCTTGCACTAAAAACCCATTTCTCAAGTAAACTGCTTGAACAGTTTTTGTTTTGTTTTTACGCCACTGTAATTTATAGCCTCTTTTTACGGCTTTCGGCATTGCATATTGATTTTGTTAGACCAATTTCAGGGCTTTTGAATGGCTACAGAAATTAATGTGTTTTAAAATATATACCAAAAATGTAAGGGGGAACTGTGAAATACAAATTATTTTTTTTAGACAAATAAGATAGAGACTTTAATGTATCTATATTAATATTCAGTTTTAATCCTGGTTCTGCTAATCAAAGACTCATATATTTTGTTGTTGTTCTTTCTTTTTACTTAAAGTTTGGGTTTAATTATCGTTAAATAACATTCTACACAATTAACAAAAAAATTAAGGAACTCTTTAAATATCAACAAGACCACTTAATTCAAATAATAGGAAAAAGAAGAGCCGTTGAAGCTCAGGACCACAATGAAGGGTACCTAGTCCTCGTACCCCGGATAGCCATTGGTGATCCTCGCCAGCCAGGCAGGCAAGGAATACGAAATCTAGTAGAAAACTACTACCAATCTGGCTGTGTCCCTTTATAAAGACTCCTTATCGGGATGCCAACGGAAACCAGTTAAACGTTAAATTAAAAGCATTTTAAAGTCTATAGAAGTGCCGAAAATTAGTAGATTCTATCAGGAATACACATGCGGAATAGTTGAAATAATTTGGTACCTAAATAGGGTAAAAAACTTTGTAATTGGTTTATAATTTACTATCTGATTAGAAAGCGAAATTATTTTAATCTAACTTGTCGTATAGACTGACTAGAGAACGGGATTATTCCACTTAAACTTTGCCTATAAGTTGGAGTAGAATAATTCCACTTTCTAATATTTCCTAATAGTAAATTGATGTATCTAATTATAATTTTTCTAAACGTAAAAGAATAACATTGCTATTAATTACCGATTTATACTGCAAAATGCAAAGAAAGAATTCTCACTTCACTTCACTTCAAAAAATCTTACTAGAGATTTAGTATATCTGCGAAAACAGCGGGAACAGCAGAACTTGCAGTATTGATTCTCGATTCATAACTCTGATTTTTTAATTAAATAATATAGTAACATGGCTTTTAAGAGTATTTATATGTGATTTAATTTTATTTGATTTAATTGATATACATTTAAATTCATTTAGTAATTTATTGAATTATTTTTATGCAAACCGACTCCATGGTTCTTTTACAGTGATGGCCAGGCTGTTTATCAGTTTACTAAGAGATCTCAACATGCAGGTTAACCAAGGACTTGATTTAAAATTGAATCAAACAAAGGTCTCAAAATGACAATAATTTCTTTAACTTTTATAAATATTATGTTATTTTTAGTTTAGAATTCTTTATGTAATACTCAATAGAGGCTTAACAACTGGAGTACCTATTTGTGTGGTACCTCCTTGACATAAATTAATACAACAACAGAGTAGCTCCAAATTAGCTATTGAAATAATATACCCAATTAGCGAAAGACCAGTTCAAATCATGTATAAAATATGTGTATGTTTATTCCGCATTATGATCCTTTAGACCCTCAGGCCTGGGACTTTTCGATTTTGGTCACTCATCTGTGTGTGCTGGTTGGGATCAATTTTCGGTTGATTGCTTTTCTCATAGTTGAAGCTGGAACCCATCAAATATTTGCCAAATTGATAATCATTTAATTATAACAAAGCACATGGCAAAATGCAACTGCTAACAGCAATTGTATCTCCGATGGCCGCTGCTGGTATGGGATTTGTGTATGCATGTCCTGCTTGATGTGCATGTGTGCGTGTGTGTGTGCGTTTGCAATTATAATGGCCCTGGCCGCAATTGTGTTGCATACTTTGAGGCCCAGTTCCTTGCCAACTGCCGGTGAATCCCCGCATCCACCCGCAGCCTCCTATAGCAAGCCATCAAATTACAAATGATGTAGTGCCCCAAGGGGAAGGGAGGAAAATGGAACGTCAGTCGCTCCGACGGATGGACAGGAGGCGTAGGAGGACCTGCAGCAGCTTTGTGGCCAGTGAACGGAAATAGAAACAGCTGCAAATGGCAGTTAGCTCAGTTCTCCGTTTAGTTCATGCATACATACATACATACATTTATATATGTGCCAGCGAAAGTATGTATGTATATGCATATGGGCTTATTTCGCAATTGTGTGGGTGAAAAAAAAACAATCCACTAATGTTCCTCCCACACACACACACACACACTTGCACAAACGGTGGCATGAACAATTGACACTGGCTAATTGCAGTGGAAAGTCCACTAAATGCACCCATAACCATGTTATTCAGATACCCTGGACAGGAAGGGGCAACAGCGATGCCAGGAAGCCCATGGTTGCCATGATGCTGGGCCAACGGAAGGAAAATCCAGGAAATTACAAGGGGAAACTGTAAACCATAGGGGTTATTTATATGTAATGTCTGGTGTCTTGGGAAGATTATTATACCTGGGAGAAAATCGTAATAAAGGTTTCAACAAGGAGGCAATGTTAGCATTACCAAGTTCTAATCTCCTTTCGGTTAATATTATAGAGGATACTCCCTTTGTCGATTAATTATCCATCTAAATCACCACGCTCGCAAATTGTCGTGCTAATTAACAGCCTGAGAATAAATTACCAGCACCAGGCATACATTTTCAAAAATCCAAAGAGCGAATGGGTGTCATGGCCGAAAGGGGGGAGTGTTTGAGAGGTCCGAAAAACCCTGGGCTTGGTTTGGGTGTGTTGTCACTGTCTCCTCGTTCAAAACAATTAAATGCATTCCCGGGACTGCCCAAGGGATGGCCAGTGTGGCCCACACTGCGTATACGCAATGCAGTGCATGGAAAATTAGCTCGAACATTTTGCAGCCATTCGGATTCCCACACTCACACGATGATGCGACATGTTGCCAGCGTTTTAGACAATTTGTTATGCAAATTGCTTATTAACTTTATGACCAGCTCCAGTTGACCGCCCAGGAACATTTTGAATTGTCAATTAGGTGCGTTGAGAAGCCCCAACCGATTGCCACCTGCCGGCGGTTGATTCTAAATAAAACTGTGTTGGCATTATTTAAACATAGACCGGAGTCATTTCATGACATTTTATGACCACATCGCACCACACCAGAGAACACACCACACCACAGCACACACCTGCCGGGAACGGCCATTAAACGGACATAAAATTGGCCCCTGGCTTCGATTTTAATTTATGTCCAGTACGGTCCAGTACGGTTCGCTTTTCCAACTCCTGTTGCGGCCTTGCCTTTCACCTGCTAATGACATTGCTATGCCATCGACAGTGGCCTTTAACTTAATTAAAAAATTCTCATTTTGTTTCCACCTAAATGGCGGTGCAGCGTTATTTATGGCCACGACTGGAAGCGGGCCAAAAAGCCAGGGAAACTCTTTGACTCCTTCTCGGTGGCCCAAAATGATTTATATGGTTTCAGTTTAATGATGCTTTCTATTGTTTATAGCAAAATTTCCATAGCAAAAGAGAAAACTGTTTAGATATATGAGAAGTTGTATAATTATTATATACGTGATTATTATTATTAAGTAAGGAAAAAGGATTATTAAAATATTATTTAAACAAAATATACTTTAAATAGGAAGCTGCAAAAATCTCTAAGGGATTTAAAGGTGTTTGGGTAAAATGTTTTAAACAAATTTTAAATTAAATAAATAATTTTACTATGATATCGGTACCTTTTATATATGAACGCATATTTTTACACACATTATTAAGAGTTTTAAGACCTTTCGTCATTTCTGGAGCACCTCCGAAGATTTTCGAAACACCCTACCTAAAAGAAATTTTATAAAAATTTCCTGTAACTAAAATTTCCAAGAATATTTAACCCAACTTTAATTTTCCAACGATTTACCTGGCTTAGTTCCTGCAACGACAAGCTCCAGCGACTTGAGATGTTGTTTTCCTGCAGGTTACCTGCGAAATTGGTCATTTTGTTGAAATGTCCTGGCATTAGCGCCCATAAGTATGCAACAGCTAGCCAAGTACAAAGTAGCACAAGCCCCAAATACACCCGTGTCTATCTTATGGATGCTGCCTGCATTCGGCCACATTTGTCCCAGTCCCCATGTTGTGCGTCCCGTGCTGTGCCAGAGCTCCCTCTCGGACATGAATTACGTTTACCGACAATTAATTTCAAGTGAAAATGTGCTAAAACTTTTAATTGGCCAGCCAAGTGGCTGCCAGGCAGAGTCCGCCGGTGGGTCTTGGGGGTTAACCTGCGAGAGACAGAGCCCGAGGGGGAGGGCCGTAAGGAAGCTGAAACGAGGCAGCCATAAAAATGT